GAGTAATACCACCTTATATTACGATTATCATCCTTTTTTTGTGATATACCTTTTGTTTCCATTTTTTTTTTCGTTTTTTTACTTTTCATAGCTAAGTCAATATAGAACTCTAGAGAGTAAATGTTATTTAACAACTTTAAATGTGAACAAGAAAGGTAAAAAATTATGACGCAGGTTGTACGTATTATTTTTACAATTGTAGGTACCTCATGTAATAATAAATTAAAGGAAAATCCACATACCTTACATTATGGCAATAGGGCTACTAAAATCATAAATATAACCATAGTCGTACATATCACACTAATATTATAAAGAGCGAAATGTGTGTTTGTTTGATTGTTACTTTTCACGCTCATACGTCTGGACCATTTTTTATACAATTTGGTAGAGAGGTAGCTGTCACCCTGTATTAAAACTACTTTTTATCTACTACTTTTGATGAGCGAGGAATTGAAGTATCCATTCTAATATTCTAAATTCGAAAATGTGTCTCTGTCTGTTACCCCTTTACGCTTAAACCGCTGAACTGATTTAGATGAAATTTGGTATGGACATACTTTGATTCTTTAGGCAAGACATAGGCTACTTTTTACCGATACCACCCGACATATACGCGGTCGGAGCCGCGGGAAAAAGCTGACTGGTTATTTGATAAACCGCGGGAAACACCTTTGGGCGCAGCCAGTATTGCATAATTTAAAACCAATCCCATCTCTTACATGCGTTTGGTTACATCAATATTGAAAAATTGGTTGTATATTGGCAACGTTATAAAACGGGTGATATACGCGCGTACGCAATCGTGTGTCTACATAAATGTTTCCGACGCATATTAATGTACTCCTCGATAATTAGCTGAGATTAAGCTGCGTTGGACTGGTTATGCAGATGAGTTTACTCAGCGAAGATATGCAAAGGGTTACAGGTATTTACCTGAAGAAAATGTATTTTATAATTTTGACATAACTGGACAAAAGCGAGTCTTGTAAATAAATTAATATGCTCTAAAACTAAATTGGTTTACTTGCATTTTATCTACAAGACTTCAGATCCTTCTAAGAAGTGGAGACCCATCACCACCAAGGGCAATGATTTTTTTATTAATCTTGTGGTACAAATATAGAACTTATGAAGACAAAGATCTTGACACAATAGCTATGATTCAATTTTTAAGGCTCTATTCTATATGCATGTAAAACCACATATTATAAGTTAATTTAAAACTACTATCAGTGCGTCATAAATTATAGTGAACACATTTTTTTTAGTATTGTTAAGTTATTAACATATGTGCTATGGTGATCAGACTACTCATAAACATACTTAAATAATTCGAAATACATAAATACTAAACATATATATATATATATTAAAAATAAATTACACCCAAACACAGAACAAATGATCGTGCTCGTAACACAATTATTTTTCCTGGGTGGGTTTCGAACCTACGACCTCCGGCTTGGCAGTCAGAGTCACTAGCCACTAGACCAACAGGTTCGTCAAAATATAATTACTTTCTCTCGACTGGTTTACCAATCAGACTCGAGTTACTTCTTCAGATCGTTACATCTGGCTTTAGGCGTTGTACAGTTAAAAATGGCTTCATTACGATACTGGCTAGGAGACATATCTGCTGCCACATCGACTGATTAATTTATAAGCGGTAGCGTCGTGGCGCCGAACGTACGATGATGCGATTCGAACCTTCTTTTCCGGCAGTAAATTCCAATGATTTTCGGCTCAGAATGATGGTCTGAATACACTATTTCAGTATTCGTTACGACGTTCCTGTATGTATAGATTGATTAAAATAAAAACAACGCTTTACGAATAACTGGGGAGGATGTAGAAAAAAGGAAGTGGTTCTCAATGGGGCTTTATAATTTTTGTTATCTCGTGTTTCAACCATTGCCACGGAGCTTTGTTTAGACAACTGAACGACAATTCCACTAGACGGCTTTCTGGGTCAGGTCGTTGCCAGTAATATCTAGAAATTATCAGTGTGGGCTTGTACCTGATTGTTTTGTGCCTAATATGTACTGTGTACCTAATACTATTATCGTTTTATATAAAAATTAATACTTGATACGTCTGTTGAATACGTGATATTTACGACACAAACATTGTGTTTTCTCTAACATTCCATTTACTGAAGTACATTCATTGACTTCCCAGCCCAAACTAGATTATGCTATATACGAGGGCTGCTATTTATGTATCCGGAACTGGCCAGTTACAGAACAATATTAAAAAAGTAATTATAACATTTAAAAATGGAACTCTTTGGCCGAAGAATGCAATTTGTATCCTTTGTGGCGTCATTTTGAAAAGTGCGTGTCTTTATCACTATGGATTTAACTCGTGAAAATTTTCGTGCTATTATTTATCACGATTTTGGGCGAGGGCTAACTCAAAAACAGTGTATCGATCAATTCACTTCGACTTTTGGTGACGAAGCACCATCAAGAACAACTGTGTCTCACTGGTTAAATGTGTTTAATCGAGGGCGGTCTGTGCTCACGGACGAATTTAAAGAAGGTTGCCCTAAATCGATTGTTGTACCTCAAAATATTATATAAAATATATATATTTAATTCAAATAAATCAGATACAAATTTGCAGCATACTTCTATTATTGCCTTGTTGTGTTCACTATTTTTGTAGTCTCTCCCACTTATCTCCTCTCTGTTAAACTAGCTTAAATTATATGTATAATCGTAAGCCTACCATGACAGCGGTAATAAAAACTGTTTATTTTAGTCGTGTGTCTCTTTCGGCTATGTGTAATTAAATTATCCGCCTTAAAAATAAAACCAGTTAAAAATAAATATTTATCACTACAGTCAAAAAGGAGGAGGTTCTGATACCACAGTATTTCTGTACAAAAAAAAACTGCTGTCACAATCTTCGGACATTGTAAATGCAATGACAATAATTTATTTTTTTATTGAATTGGTTGTTTCAAGGTCTTTCCTATTTAAATTTGAGGAACGGTTTTCCACCTCTAAGATTAGACAATTAAGGGATGATACATATTACGTATATCATGATTAAAGCGTATTGTAGTCATTAATATACATAGTTTTTGTAAAGTTAAATATTTCGTTAACATTTGTGGCTAAGATTTCGAACTTGAATGAAGTGATTGCGAACCCCAGCTAGTATAGTGCTGACGCTTTCATCCCAAGCACTTATCTTAAGAGGATGGGTTAACAAGAATTAGTTTTAGAATATACTGCTTGAATTTGACCCAACATCCAAACAGGAACACCTATTGTTGGGTTTTCTGTCGCTAAACTGACGTTGATAATTTTTTTTTTCGAGGCTAAAGCATGAATAGAACAGGAATATAAGGCTTGACTGTTAGCCTTGCAAGTATCCGATACACCGTTAAGTTCGTTTATGCCAATATCACGGAAACTGGTTCAATACCAGCGATCCTTGTTTAGATACTAGATCGAGTGCGATTAAGTACAATGAGCTGTTTATACCGTAACTTATATAATACATTATACATCTGATAACTGCCTACGTTTTTAAGGAAATTTAGAAGATTTTATTTCATATTTATTTGTTGCTGGTCATTGTGAAGTAGAATAAGACAGTATATTAATATAGTGGCAGTAGTTGTGTGGATACCGGATACTCGACTCCATGGATGGCGTAGAGGTTTAAGCGGTCGCCACGCCGCTTACCACTACTATTAGTAATTTATTTTTAATGAAAATATTAGAGTTTTTAAAAACTCCATATCAAATCATATCAAATCCAAAATTAAGTCATTTCATTGTTTATTTTTCCATTTGCTAATTATATCCAAGGAACTCCGACATACCGAGGGTTTATAACGGAGTCCATAAAAGTCACAATTAGAAAAGATATTACGTAACCTACACAAAAAGTACAGTCGAACTTAGAAACACAAGAAAGGGAAGGTTGTCTGATGTTTATTAACTCTATAGTTAAATAGCGTAAAAAACGTTGACTGCACGGATGGCGTAGGGGTTAAAACGGAGTCACGCCGCTCATTACTACGATGAGTGTTGTGGGTCCGATCCCCACGCGGGACGACACTTTGTGTAATCCACAAATTGTTGTTCTGAGTCTGGGTGTTCTTTGTGTCCGTTTCATGTATGTTTTAAACTCCCCCGCGACACAGGATATTTTCCTAATGCGGTTTTTTTTTAAAAGAGAAGAGAGAATTGGTCCCTGTACCATTTGGGTATTTTGGCTATTCCGGGTAGACGGTTAAATTTTATAACGTTTATATCCCTTTCTAATCCTGATCTCTAATGCCGAATCAAGCAGAGCCTGTACTATGATAACCAGGCTGCTGGTTGACTTATGAGTGGATTCCCTCAAATTATTTGTTTTGACAGGGGTTTTAATCCGTGTGGCGACGGATTAAGAATACGTGGTGTCGCTACCCCTATTCATCCCGTGGGTGTCGTAAGAGCCGACTAAGGGAGCAAACTTCGCAGGACAACAGCACTGCAAGGAGAAGGAAAACTTGAAACGAACCCTATACCGACCCGTCTGGCCAGCGTGGTACAGTAGGCCAGAGCCTCCTTTCTAAGGAGAGGCCTGTGTCCAGCAGTGGACAGCATTAAAGGCTGTTGATGATTTGTTTTGAACCAAAGTATTAAATCTAGCAAAATTTCAAATAGGATAATTTTGTGTAAACTAAAACTAGTAATAGTAATCTCACTTAAATTGTTCTCCTATTCTCTTTGTGAAGCCATTTGTTCTATGATAATTAAAAGAAATTACCATCCAAAAATCCCTATAAAAAGTTCTATCAAAATTAGGGCCTATTTAGATTGTCTTCTGAGCTATGCAATTACTAAATTTTATTATCTTGGGAATGACCATATGCAGAAAAAGTTAATAATAAAAAATATTAAACATGGGTGGCGATAGTCACTTGTCAGGTCACCGTTAGCTCGTTTACCTCCTGTATCACTAAAAAAATAACATATAATTTTCTCTTGCAGGCATCCATGGACTTACCCCCGGATAAAGCAAAACTCCTGCGCAACTACGACCTGGAGAAGAAATGGGAGATAATCTGCGATCAAGATATGGTGCAGGCTAAAGACTCGCCGGCGCATTATCTTAACAAGCTCAGGACCTACCTCGATCCTAAGGCTTCTAGGAGTCATAGAGTAAGTGTTATCTGAATCTAATAATTTCTTCGCTAAATTCAGGTACATTGTTATAATTTCACACTCCGCGATCTCAATTAAATAGAATGTACGATAAGGGTAATTTTAAAGGCCCCTTTCAATAACGAATTCTACTTGATGTAATGGTTTTTAGTTTCTCGCTTAGGGCTGATCGTGGTCTGCGTAACAATTGGGCGATAGACAGGACGAAGCTTGCTGCTTCCCCGGGAATCAAGTACTGATCGTAGTACAAGTTACTTCGCATCGTCTTTGATAAAAGAATATTATTTCGAAAATTAACTTTATTTGTCCTATCTTGCTTTTGTCTACAATTTATGATATTTAGAAATGCAACATCGATGATACTTTTTTTCGTTAGTAAATATAGCCTGGTCTCCAGCAGTGATTATGGCCTAATCCCACCGTCTCCAGCCGATTGAGTTAAGGGTGTACAATACACAGCGTTTGATTACCATACTAAATACCATAAACAACTACTTGCCTCTGATCAATTTGTTTTTAAGCCGATCTTTTACTTAGGTTGGCAATGGTGATTCAGTACTTTATTTTGTTCAAAAAATGTTAGTTACACAGTGAATAGCATTTTGAATGGCATTGTCCATTTTCCATATTAGTGCACACCAGCAGTCCCAGGTATCCAGCATGGTTGTATCGAAATGATTCATTGTACTTGGCGGCTGCGCGTGAGTTGCCGTATTCGGCGATACCGTTACACATTGTAAACAATGAACGATACATTAGTACTAGCTACGATAAAGATCTGCCTACAGGCAATTTGTGAGTTAGATCGTTTTCTATGCATGTTCCTAATCGACTGCAAATAAAGGAGGATATTTCTTCGACTGTATTTTTTTGTGTTATTTATATTCGACTATTTTTATTGATGTTTTAACCTAATCGACTCCCATGATGTTCGGATCATCAATCAACATCAAGAGCCTTTACTAGTCCACTCCTGGTCATAGGCTTCTCCATAGAAAGGAGGTTTTGGCCTACTGTACCACGCTGGCCAGACGGGTTTGTTTTGGGGACGGGGACGGTTGGGTTTGTTTCAAGTTTCCTTCTCTTTGCAGTGCTGTTGTCCTGCGTAGTTGGTGATGTTCGGATACATTGTTGAAAATAAATCAAACTCATAGAGTGACGAAATAGCTACTGAAAGTTTTAGGAGATTTATTTATTTAGTTAGTTTGGATACACAAAAAAATAATCTAGAAAACTTTTTTTTGCCGGTTTTTTTTTTTATTATAAACTTTAATCACACTTGATTTACATTTTTTTTTAGATTAAAGAATAAACATTAAATAATCGAACCCGTGACCTGCAATTTGTTAGTAGTATGCCCTAACGCCGTGCCAATCTTTAGTGTGGCTCCTCTAGTGTTGTACCGTTAGTGTCAAGTGTAACATATAATACTTACAATGTATATCCTGTTGTGTTGGTGGGCCTAAAGAGATTGTCATCGGGCAATAGACCACTTGTGCCTATGTTTACTAAATATTCACTACGAGGGATAGCTTCGAGGCAGGTTTCACGGAGGCTAATTTACAAAACATTATACAGGCGCTTCCAGCTGTATTATACTTTATTTTTACGACTAGACTCGTAAAAAGCGTATCGGAAACATTGTCAAGGACAATTGACGAATTTACAATCAACTTTCAGGAGCCTCTGGTATTATTAAGTTACCACAAGGTGCTTCAAACATTCGCTAAACCTGTAATTTTCGTACTAATTTACTGGTATTCAATATTATCATATTGCGAAACTACACGAAGCCGATTTTATACCACCTGCGTTATTTTCGCGTATAAGTAACCAAACCACATATACAGGTGCTTACAACGATTTAACCTGCTTACGCCTTACAAATGAACATGTTATTGCAATCTTTTTTTTTTTTTTCACTAATATACCTTTAATCAAGTTTTGTATTCGTGCAATCGATGTCTGGAAAGCAGAATTTAAAGGGAGGAAAGGTTAAAAAACCAACGTTGTTAAGCAATTCTTTTATAGACCAGTTCGTGGATTCAGGATCCAGGAGAAGGAGGATCCGATTAGCCTTTGGGCGGCTAATGTGCGTTCAAAAGCTTCTTCTAAGGCTCCGTCCGTAGTAACGCGGACCAGTGAATCGCCTAAATATGATGTTAGAATGCCATTTGTTCCTAAATTAGACAGAGACTGTATTATAGTTATTGCACTGCTGATGAACGCCACTCATAATAGATATCTTTGGTGGGAGTTGAACTTATGACTAGCAAGATCGCTAAGTATCACTAACTTTTTTCTGTGCGGAAACCCCCTTTGGATACAACCCACCGGTGGTTATGTCGGAGTCGAACCGACCAAAAACCGCACTCCGTCTCGGGTCCCAGTAGCCGGGGAAGCAGGTGTACCCTAGGAAGGAAATCCGTGGTACCGCGACGGACCCCGGGCCATCTAAGGCTTGTAGATGACCCCCTTTGTATGTGGGAACCACGGTGTTCCCGTTCTACAATCTAAAGGGCGTGCGCGCTCCACAGCGCGTCGCACCGCCACCCGGCCTGCTTCTACTAGGGTGACAGATGGCCTCACCTCTCATCTCCAGGCCTGCGGTTATGGAGGACGGAGGTGGTTCTGCGACCTCCGGCGCCTGAGTCGTCTGCGGTACCTGACCCGTTCCCGGGCTTGGCGAACCGGTAGAGTTATAAATATCTCGCGGTCCCGCTCCGCCATTTCCTTCACAAGCATAACTTGCTTACAGAAGGAGATGGCGGAGTCCCGTCGTATCCGCTGTCTCCCATCTCATTAATCTCATCATCACATCCATCCATCTCCATGGTACGGATACCACGGTCGCAATCATGGCACCAAGCGAGAGTGACCAACAGGCCTGTTAAATAGTTGATGTTTTACACCTAAATGTAATGAATTTTGGAAAACTTCAACTAATAAGTGTCATCATCATTGGCCTATCACCATACTCTGCTGAACGAAGGTCTCTCCCAAGAAGCGACAACGATCCCAGTATGAGGCAGTCCGCATCAATTTAAGATTGCCTAATCGAGGTCTGCGCTCTAGCACATATCGACTCCAGCGACAGTCAGTCCGTCTGGAGACATGTCCAGCCTACTTCCACTTCAGCGTACTGATTCTCCAAGCGATGTCGGTTACTCTAGTTCTAGTTAATAAGTGTAGCCGCAATAAAAGCTATTATGATCATTAAAAGCTAATATGAGTTTGTACATACATATGTAGTTGAATTAACGTATTTGTTGTCCCATTTCTGCGTCGGCTGTGTAGGTCAAATCAATAAGACTCACAATAGTTCAACTTTACGAGACGTCCTCAAACATGAAAATGCTATAAACTTGATTAAGTAATATTAATCACATACTACTTGTATTTGTTCATTATATGGAAATCGATTGGAATAAGTATTTGCGATTGTTGTTTTGTGATGTAGATCACCGTACTTCTTATAAATTAGCGGACTCCCTTTTATCACTCACCGACTGCCTTAAAAAAATAACACTTATTTCCTTAGAATGAAATGTTTTCTTAGAACGTTTCTGGTGTTTGGGTTTCTGATACGTATGCCATTACACTATGCGCATAAGACTATGGTACGAATACCACGACTGAAAAAGTGTCTCGTAGCTAGTTTTTAATTATAAAATCCCTGATGTTTAATCATGTTTTTCACAATATGATTAAACAGTTGAAAACAATCATTTTTCATAGATAGTATCGTTAAAGAACCTCCTAGATGATTAGGATAATCGCCTAATTACACTGCTTTATACCTGGTTACTAAAAATTTGTGATTGTAGTTTAGTTTTACAAATACTAGTGATTAAAAGATTTTTATTTATTTACTTAAAACTACATGCTCATGCTTGTGCAAAGGCTGAATGCTTCTTTAGAAGCAATCTAACATGCAAGCATATTAGGAACTGTACGCTCTTTTTGTATTTTCAAACTCTAATTAAATTTATTTAAAGAATTAAAGTGTTTCTGTAACAATGTACTTATATTTTTTTATGACATATACATATTAAAATTAATACAAGTTAAAGCATGAAAAGGATATTATAAAAAAAAAAAATACATTAGACCGAGTGAGATTTGATACAAGAACCGTTGATACGGTACTTACTTTATGTACTTGATTGAACAGTACTTAACAAGCAATGACTGTAGTATATAGTATTACAAGATAAAAAAACTCGTGTTTTATGTATGTAGTCAGTCACACAATTTTGTACTTTGAATGTGTGGCGTTAGAGTGGGGTTTCGAAAAACGGTTAGACGTATGGAAAATAGAAAAAAGTTGATTGATGGTCAAATGGTAATAGGCTTTTTCATACTAGTAAAAAGCCGTTGCATTTGCAAGTTTATTCACGTGCTGTGATTTAGTATATAAGCTGTTTATGAAGTGATGCAAATTTTTTTTGCACAACTTTTACAATATTCATTTACAGTTTACTGTAAATGAAGTTTAAGTAAACAGGGAACCTATTATTGAATTGTTATTGGATTATACTCTTCGCAATGTGTAGTGTTCTTATTGAAGAGTAGGATTACCAGTGCTATATGTGGATCATTGTCATGGTGTTACTGTAGTAGAGTGGAGTAATGCCTTTATATAGCAGTCTTGTTTAAAAAATATTATGTTCTACACGTTTTAATCTGACGTCCATCTTAAGTCCTGAGTAGTCCAAGAAAAGAAAATTGCACGGCGATAAATACATAGATATAAAGGGCTACGGCTCGGATATTTGTGCCATACTGGAATCTATTTTTTCTTATTTTATGTCCCGTTTATGTTAACTTTATTATAATAATAACTTTACACTTCTTACAACCAGACTGCTGATAAACATACTTATATATTTCTAAATACATACATATTATAGATAAATTACACCAGGGTCAGTCAACCACTAGACTAATACAATAAAAAGACGAACTTTGAAATATATGGCTTTTTTTAATAGTTAAGAAGATATTAATAATCTTTTAAACACGCATGATGGTCAGCCAATTAAACAATGATAGCTCTGTTTTAATAAAGAAGAAAACTTCAAATACCAAAACAGTCCAAAAAATTTATCACTTAGTTCCGAATTCAGTTTTATCCGCTCTACAAGCTGCAATGGAAGTATCGCAGACTAAACAAATAAAAGCAGTTAAAATAAAGCGTTATATGCGGGGCCAGATGTTCCTAATTCGCACATGATAAATGCATATTGACACCTCACTCAACTTTACTTTTTTGGTACTTTATGGTTCTTTAACTGCGCCAGTGGTAAAGTTTATTCAATGACCGAATTAAAGTCTCAAATTAGTTGAACAAATATTTAGTGAACCGGACACCTATAAAAGTTAAGGAAGGAAGGACCTCTGCAGCCAAGAGTACTACTGAGACTAATGTTTATATTGAACTTTTCTCGAGGTTTGCATAAAAACCAAGCTATGTACCTTTAAATGAGCTACTACTTAATATAAGAAAAGAGTCCAACGATATTGAGCTTCACCTAGTAGTATTCAACTATCCTGTACTAACTTATTATAGTCAAATCTCTTCTGACCTCTTCTGTACCCCTAATTGAGTCCAAAATGTTGCACGTAAACTATTATTCTTTGCACTAATTCTATCAGATGTCGACCTTGCCCTTTTGCTACGCACCTTTTTAATGTTCTGGTTCATAGACATAATAACACTTTCTTTTATATTAGGACGTTAGTTGACATGTTACGAGGCCATCACTAAATTAATGTGTAATTTGTGCAGAAATCAACAACGGGTTAATGAATGTTTTTAGATTTTCGCCTTGGCCTGTGGATCGGTTTCTATTTCGTTTCAACTACTCTAGTTTTTTTCCTGACCGACGTATTAGTAGTACGAAGTAAAGAAGAAAGGAACAGAAATCTTTACAACAGAATGAATGAAAAGAAGAACAGAATTATTGTTTGAAAAATGAGAAAAAAAGTTGATAGTGTTTGGTCCTCTTTAAACACTATGTAGTTTAGTGTAATGCGATAACTTTATCATTTCATAGTATTATGATGTCATCCACGTCCTGATAGTTGACACTAGTGTCCACGAAATTGACTCATTTTATTCATGTTGTGTACGTGAGAATATTACAATAAGCACCTTGTCTGTAATGCGATATAAGAAATATAATAGCAGTATAATGACACCTAACAAACATAACAAACCCTACTTTGTTATATAGTAAGTAAACATTCATGCGCGAAATAACGCGAGCAATAGATATTACATGCTTTTAAATTACCTGATCATACAAGTAGCACTGGCCACTGTCACAGGCTGACTGGTCTGTCAATTTTACTACGTATGATGAACGCTAAGGTTTAATAGAGACTTTTTGTATTCATTGAATAACATTAAATCTATTCATCTATATCTATACAAATAAATAAAATTGAAGTGTCTATTTTTAATATCAAAATAATAGATTTCTTTCATACTCACACGGTTATTTTCACGATACCTATGCCTAAAAACCAGTATAATTATTTTTTTCTGTATGGGTTTGTTCCGGGTAATCTTCTAACAGGCTGGACCGATTTTGATATTTAAATCTGTACTTTATAATACCGTATAATTTAACATTTCAATAATATTTTGTCACCATGTTTATATATTTAGCACTGGATGTTCGGTTTGTTAATAGCGATAAACAGCTTAAATTCCCAGCTAATTACTTATCACGATCGCATACGGTACACCTCAGACTAATCGTTAGATAAGATACTCTGGCAGATGTGAGAGTTTTCCAAACGTATGCCTTGAGGCACTTGACCCCTATGGACCTGGGCGGGAACCACTCGTGGCTCCATTGTGTGAATGTCGTGAGCTTTGTTAAAAAGTCTAGTTTCAACGAAAGTTTTTAGAGAGTTGTCAGAAAGTGGGAGTTGTTGTTGTTTGTTTGTTTTTTTTTGGGAAATTAAGTTTTTTTTATAGCAGTATTTGCCTCAAAGTTTTTTTTTTCTTAAAAGACAGTCGCGGGGGACTTTACAAACATACATGAAACGGACACAAAGAACACCCAGACTCGGAAAAACAATTTGTGGATCACACAAAGTGTCGTCCCATGTCGGACCTACAACACTCAGCGTAGTAGTCGTCGTGGCGACCGCTTAAACCACTACGCCATCCATGCAGTTAAAGTTCTTTACGTTATTTAACTATGGGATAAGAAATATCAGACAACCTTTCCTTTTTCGTGTTTTTAAGTTCGACTGTACTTTTTGTGTACTCCGTTTTAAACCCTTGGTATGATGGAGTTCCTTAGATTTAATTAGCAAATGGAAAAGTGAACAATGAAATGACTTAATTTTGGATTTGATATGGAGTTTTTAAAAACACTAATATTTTCATTAACAATAAATGATTTCATGTTTATGATCATCATAGATCATGAAACTGTTTTTATCTTTATTGCTTTTTTTTAAACTTACACAACTAAAAAATAAAATAAGGGTTTTGTTTCTAGTTGGAAATACTAGCTTAGCAATGTCTTTATGAAGCTTTTTTTTTATTTTACTTACTTCAATAAAATCGAAATGACGAGCCACAGTCTTAAAAAAGTCATCAAGAGTTAATTTATTTATTTTGTCTAAAGTATCTCAATAAATAAGACCCGAGATGCGATAAACTGTGACCTAAACGAAATGGTGTCAATTATTCAGGTCGTATGACATTCGAAAAGTAAGGTCGCAAAGCCAAAGGTTGCAAACAACTGTCATTTCTGACTCATGTGCATTGACGTCGTGAATCTGTTACCGTGGGGAGCAAGATACGTAGTTTTGGTTTATTTCACAGTATAACCTGCTGTTAAGGAAAGTATTACTGGAATGGGTTGTTGTGTGGTTAGTGGTCTGGCTAAGCCACAGATGTGGGTTCGATTCCCACCCAGGACAAATAATTGTGGGATGAGCACGATCATTTGTTCTGTGTCTGGGTGTAATTTATGTGGAATACGAGTATGTATGTATTTAGAAAAATAAAAGTATATTTATCAGCAGTCTGGTTACCATAGCACAGCCTCTGCCTAGTTTGGAGTGGTACAGTGTAATCATAAATTTTCAGTAGAATAAAAAAGTGAGAACATCTGTTTTCAAAAGGCTCAATTTCTTGCAACTTAGACCCTATGGAGTTCATTTCAATAAGAAAGTGTATTGTCATAATAAAATGCTTTCTCAATTTTGATGTAGGTTCTTTATGCCTCGTATATAGAATCTCTTCCTATGTATATACTAGCTATTGCCCGCGACTTCGTCTGGTGGTTGCCATCAGATATCTTACAGGATACAATGAATCAAGATTATAGGTATATGTATAAAAGAAGATACAAACTAAAGAGTATTTACTCCCATTTAGCCTTAGCGGTGGAATTTTTTTAAATCCTTTCTTAGTGCACACCTAGGTCACCCAAGGAACAGTTGTGCAAAATGTCATGATTCTAGAACCAGCGATTCAGCTATGCGTTGATCGATCAGTCAGTGAATCAGTCTGTCAGTTCTTTCTTTTATAGATATAGACAGCACAATAGAAAAAGCCGTGTGACAGTTATGTATAATATTTTTCCTGATGTATGTGTGTACCAACATGTCTCCATTCTACTTCTTACATAAACAAGTAATGACTCGACACTAAATTAAAGGATAAAATACATAAGAAATAGAGTCTAAAGATTCTAATGATATACCTCTTTATTGTTTACAGAAACGGAAGATGGTCGGCGACTCCACATCGACGCAAGTCCTCAGAGACTTGGAGATATCTTTACGAACAAACCACATAGAGTAAGTAAACTAAAACGTATACTTATAAATCTTTTCTGTTCCGGGGGGATTCTATCTTTGGATCACTGAGATGAGACACCACCACACGTACCCTTCAACTTGTTGGTTGTCACGTACCACAAAATGGCAGAAACTGTGAGAGTCGCAGCTAATGTAGAAGTGGATTAAAGATAGAGTCGGATGGTATTGTTGATAATGATTGAAGCTAATTCGACTTTGGTAATAATAATGTTGTAGTGTTTACGTTGCGTACTTTGAATACTGAATGATAAAACAAGTTTCTTTTTACTTCCAGATGGGTACGCGAGTTCCTCAACGAACAAAACCAAGGCCTGGATGTGCTAATCGATTACCTGAGCTTCCGGCTCAGCATGATGCGGCACGAGCAAAGGATCGCATTAGCTAGGAGTCAGTCCAGCGATGGTATCAACCAGGGTGAGTGTTGAGAGTAGTAAAACTCGCGAAAACCAAACCAACTGTATGAACCAGTAAATCTATAACCTTGATTCATATGCCAGAATTAAATAATTCTATTCATTACAGACGTAGAAGTCGTAAAATCTTTATCATCTCAAAATCGTTTAAACTAGAGGAGAATTCTAAAGAACTCTTTCTGTTTATTTTGTTTATCCTCACCAGTTAACATGTACCCTTATCTGATCCTCAGTGAACACAACAACATCAGAATGCAGCGGTCCAACCGATGGTGGATCTACAATGAGCGCTACCTGGAGGCGACGCGCACGCAGCGCGGACGCCGAGTGTGAAGGGGCTGCCAGTCCTGCAGCCGTGAGGCGGCGGACCAGGCACGCGGCCAGGTTGAACATGGGAGCCAGCACTGATGACATACACGTGTGCATTATGTGTATGAGAGCTATCATGAATAACAAGGTATCTATTGTTTTGATAGCCGTCTCGTTCACTCTTACTAATTGTATGGCAGAGCGAGTGAGATATGCATCACATAATGATCTTTTAGGCGAAATTTTTGTTTTGTAAACCAATAAGTATTGATGGTGGTTTTTACTGGATAGCTTATTATTAATTTTAATTTATTATGGATCACATATCCTTTTATCCAGTTTAGATATTATTAATTAAAAATTCGCTCTCAGCAGGGAGTTGTTTTTATCTATAGGTACATATAAAGAACAATGGCGGGTCTCCATACAAAAAAAATATTTGGAATCAAACTGCACCGTAAAAAAAAATATTTAAAAAATCCGGTTTTTTTTAGAATCTACGTAAAAAATAATTTTTGTTTGGAAAAGGGTAGAAAAAAAGACATTAGCATTTGATTTTTTCAGTTACGCATTGCATCTGTGGACTGTCTTTAAAAGAGTTCATAGATAGTCTTTTATAACATAGCTACTTAATGCTTAATTTATTTTATTAAGTTGTCTATGGCTATCGACTTTACATTACTATTTGATAATTATAACTGTATATGTGCCATTTAAATAAAAAAAAGAAAATCAAGAATTTTTATAGTCCACTTTCGTAGGTTATATTTTTATGTCACTTTTAATGTGTCTGATGCATGAAATAATCACCTATACATAAGTATATTTATTTAATTGGAGTATAATTGGATATAATGACTTAATATTAATTACATAAGTATAATTGGATGTCTTCAATAAGTTCAATAAGTTCTTCAATAAGTATATTCCTTTTCCTTAATTTATTACCTATTTCAAAATGCAATGAATTGTAAATTTAAAACCTAAACTAATATAATCGGCGGCGGCCATTCGTGTCAGACGTTTAGTCTTTATTTTTAAACACCGAGTGAGTTGTCAAAAAACCATTGCTTTTTTTTCAGCTTGCATTTGCCACTTAATTTTTTTTTACTTCCTTATATTCCACTACAGGATTTTCAAATTCGTAAACAATGCGTTTAATAATGCACCACAAACTATATTATTTATTGATTCAGTACTTAGAATTATAAAACTATTATCTGATTACCATATTACTATTAAGTGATTACCATATTATGATACTTTATTGGACAGTATTTCCACTACATGAAAAAAATTGGCTATAAAATGGTAACACTAAACTGATAAAGGAAATTGAAACAATCAAAATAGCTTATAACATCTTTCTTTCTTTTCCTGGTGTATTACTGACTTAGGTGATAGTTTCAAAAAACGTAGATATTTACTAGAATTAGTTTCCTGTGAATGACATTTTAAGACGCTCAAATTATACTCAACTACGAATTCGCCATTGTTCTTTACTTGCCCTGATTGACTGATTCTTCTGTAGTCTGAGACTTCTTTAAAGTTATATTTTGTATGTAATATTGTTTTTTATTTCCAGTACGGCTTCAACATGGTCATCCAACACAGAGAAGCTATCAACAGCATAGCTCTATCTCTAGTCCACCATTCCCTCCGCACAAAGGCTTTAGTTCTCGAGCTCTTAGCCGCCATATGCCTGGTGAAGGGGGGCCACCAAATCATCTTGTCAGCCTTTGATAATTTCAAGGAAGTCGTCGGAGAACCACGCCGGTTTCATACCCTCATGGAGTACTTCATGAATTATGATAATTTCCATATTGAGTTTATGGTAAGCGGTCTTTCGTAACCTTTGAGAAAATTGCTCGTAATCTATTAAGTAGTAGAGAAAATAGAGAAGACAGAAAATTACACATAAAATTACATGATTATTTGGACGAAAATTAACTAACAAACCTTAAAGAGATCTTAAAGTGTTTTTTTTTTTCATTAACAGCCTTTACTAGTCCACTGCTGGACATAGGCCTCTCCTTAGAAAGAACAAGAACACATCTCTTTATATCAGCGATTCTATTAAAAGTAATTAATCATTTTTCATGACACTTTTACATCTACATGTTTTCAGACAAGCTTAATTATACATTGCATTAGTTATTTGTTAATATATTCTTGTTTATTTTTTGTTGGCAGTTTGAAGACTTAACTGAGTAAACTTGACTCGATCATATTCTAATTCCGTTGATAGTTTGGTTTCTCGGGTTTTCACGGGTCTATCTTAGTCAGATTAGGTAGAACACTTTAGATGTGAAATGTCTAATGTCAGACCGGCTATAGGCGTGGCGATGGCGACGCTATGTGATAGTATATGTAACATGGAATGCGGTGTGGTGCCTCGTCGCCATGCGCAAGTGACTCTGCGACTTTCTTACACTCATTAATTTGCTTGATATTTTTAAAATTATTAAACCATATTTGTACATTGCAGGTGGCGTGCATGCAGTTTGTGAACATTATAGTCCATTCTGTGGAGGATATGAACTTCAGGGTGCATTTGCAGTACGAGTTCACGGCGCTGAAGCTCGACGACTACCTGGAGAGGTTACGGCTGTGCGAGAGTGATGATTTACAGGTTCAGTTTTCTACATAATTTCTACCAATGTTTCCATTAGATCTATTTTATTCTGACCATTTAGTACACTAAATTTAAATTTTAAAACACGGTAAGTTTTTGGAAATATATGTACAATAAGGGGCATGCATACATTGAATACTACTATAAATATTGGTCCCGGTATAAAATATTACATTTTTATTTAAATTATATTTAGTCGTAAGTATCTGAGAATGTTTGAGACTGGGTATGATAATTAACCAATTTTTTTTAGTGTGTAGACACACTCGGAATATATATTTTTTGACTGTATTTAAAACGGGCATGAACGTTTGCAGGTCCAAATTTCAGCGTATTTGGACAATGTGTTCGACGTAGCCGCGTTGATGGAGGACAGCGAGACCAAGACCGCTGCGCTCGAGAAAGTCAACGAACTCGAGGACGAGTTGGGACATGTAAGTTGCTTTGGGAAATAGGTACTGACACATTATTTTTTTAATTTTTGTAAATATTTATAATATTAAAGTTGCAAATTAACATAATTAACGACATGTCTAAAACCAATAATTTAAATACAAGGATAGCTTGTCGACATCGTGAGTAAAAGTCACTACACTAATGGTGACGTCCGCATACAGTGGAACAAAAACATACTTCAGCGCCATCTAACAGATAAACATCGAACTACGGAGTAACTGCTAATCCTGTATCGCGATATAAAAGTTCTCACGCCGATTAGAATGTATGCAACTTTCCAACATCAACAGTTCAGCCATTCATGATCACCTCACCTGGTTGGATAAGAAAAAAACTCGCCATTAATGTAGTCGTGTAATGACGAGGCCAGGCTATAATGTCGTTCTTGTGTTACAGGCGCACGAGCGTTTGGCGGCGCTGGAGCGCGAGGCCATCGCCAAGCTCGCCACGCTCGAGGCGGAGCTGGGGCAGGTGCGTCAGGAGCGCGACCAGCTCGCAGAGGCCAGGAGACAGGTTGTTGAAGAGGTAACGGTCGCATTCTATTTACTTAATATTCTTTTAGTAATCAGGCCAAGCTTCCCTCGGAGTTCTATTTCTGTAAACACGCGTTTTTAGAAAAGAAAATGATTAAAATATATATGGACTAGAAAACTCTTTATATGTACACATTTTTAAAAGAGTTGTATCAAAAATACAATTGTCATGTATGTAATGTATAAAAGGCGGTCTTATTGCTAAGTGCAATTTCTTGCAACCAACCTTAGCATGGATCGTGAATTTCAAGAATTTTAAACATCGAAATTTTACCTCAATTTTGTATTTGAGCCACTTTTTTCTTATGTCCCACGTTAACTATGATCACAGGTCTTTTTCGCCTCGCATGGTTATCTTTCTTTTTCACTTTTCTCAGCTTTTGTCTTTGTATAACAACGTATAGAAATGATTTTTTACAATATTATTATGTGTTCGATTGTTTAGGTATCAACGTTACGCCGCGCGCAGCAGGACTCCCGCAACCGGCAGTCGATGCTGGAGTCCAAAGTCCAGGAGCTGGAGTCTCTCACTAAGACACTGCCGAGGGGAGCTTCCAGTAAGTGACGTGCATATTCTTTCTAATATACATAGATCTAAGGCAAAACAATCGAAAGGATACAGTGTAGTAGCACAAGTCTTTTCGCGGACTCTTTACTTATGACAACAAAATGGTCTTAACTTTGCAGAGCAGCGCTAAATACCTAAACATGCATTGTTTTACAAATCGGTTGTTGTTGCAAAATAGTCGACTCTCCTCCTCTCTTTGTGTTTGCTTATGATGTTTCCGCTAGTTTTAAACACTTTATACACGTTTATTAGAATATGTTTTCCACTTACTGCACACTATTAAGTTTTTTATAAATTATTATTGTACACAATTTCTGTAAGTGGGACTCTTAACATATTAATTTATTACCTATTCATTTTAATACTTTTACGTTATTTTTTCAGTGGGCGCAATCTCTTCACACCTCTGTAACGGCGGCACACCAAACGGTCACAGTTTACCAAACGGTGACACGCCTACCTACAAATCCCCGCCTCCACCACCTGTTGCCCCTCCAGCACCTGTCGCACCACCTCCCCCCGCGCCTTGTCCACCTCCCGCTCCATGCCCCCCACCACCTCCACCACCGCCTTCGCTAGCACCCGCTCCACCTCCCCCCGCACCGCCAGCGCCTGGCCTCATGGCCCCGCCACATCATACAGATGCCATGACCATCAAACGGAAAGTGGACACTAAATATAAGCTGCCGACATTGAACTGGATTGCATTGAAACCAAATCAGGTAGGTCGATTAATAGTCTCATTCCTTTTAAAAGATATAACCCCAGGAGGGTACCGGGCACGTCCACTGATATTAAAAAGGTCAAAGCAAATTTCATAGAGACTGTGTATAAGAAGATATGGCTAGAAAGGGAGTAAGCAGTAAACTGACGAGTGATAGAAGAGAATGGAAGAAGAAAAATCATTGCACCGACCCCAAAACAAATTTGGAAAAAGGGCAAAATGATGATTAGTAAACTTTTGGAAAAGAAGGACTTCAATTTCCACCTTTAGACGAAGGCCCGAAGAATGTTACGAAGTAATACGAGTATAACAAGATCAGCTTTAATATTGTTTTGATATCTTACTAAAGACTATCTAAGAGATAAAATATTAACTTTTTGGAGTTTACTCTTTAAGAATCGATTTTCATATATAAAAAAATGAAGAGTAAAATTTAGTGATCGAATGATCTCGTTACGTTTTTGTGTGTAACTAAATCGTTTTTAGCAGGTAAACTCCAGTCAGGCGTCGGAGCTGACACACACACACACACACACACACACACACACACACACACACACACACACACACACACTTTTTATTTACTTGGCCTCTATTTTCACTCGTTATCTTCTCAGGTGCGCGGTACAATCTTCAACGAGTTGGACGAGGAGCGTCCCCGGCGACGGATCAACTTCACAGAGTTCGAAGAGAAGTTCCGCATCGGCGGGGTGTGCGGTGGCTCGCAACTCGACACAGACACTGACACACTCGCATCGTTCCCTAGCAAACGCTTTAGAAAACCTGACACTGTATCGTTATTGGAACACACCAGGCTTAGGAACATTGGTAAGTCAAATGTGCCATAGACTTTGGTTTTCCAGAAATATTATTCTATTCAAACCATTTTTAACCAATTTTTAATTATACACATCAACAACAAATCAGTCATATAGGTATTCCTATTCTCGCATAATATTCTGACATACAATATTATTTTATAAATAGCGACGGTGAAGACAATTTTGCGTCCAATAAGTTTTTCTTCTGTTTTTGACAAAAAATAATAATTTTAGAAGCTATTGACGAGTTTTGGAGCTATTAATTTTAATAATATTAAAATTCTTACACATTAACACAACGCCATTTAGTCCCAAACTAAGCAGAGCTTGTATTATGTGTAGAAGAAAACTGACATAAATACTTTTTTATTGTAAATACATACATACACATATTCTCGCTCAAGCCAAACATTAAATGTTTATGCACACAAATGTTTTGATTTGAGCGGGAATCGAGGCCGCGACCTTAATAAAATTAATTTAAAAAAGTAATAATAGTTTTATCCTATCCTTCCATGAATAATCTGTGTTATTATTAATTATTTAATGAATAACGGTCTTATTTTGACAGTATATAAAATGTATGCATAGTTTTGGCTAGGCGTTATCAACCAGTCGTTAGTAATAAAGTAGGTACAAACAATAAGTACTATTTTTCTTTTTTTTTAGCAATATCTAGAAGAAAACTCGACACGCCAGTCGAGAAAGTCATCGCTGCCATCAACAACTTAGACCTCAAACAATTACCTCTAGAAAGCGTAGAGATCCTGCAAAGAATGGTGCCAACAGAGGCCGAACAGAAAGCCTACAAAGAATACGTCGCCGAAAAGAAAAACATCAATCAACTGACGGAAGAAGACAAATTCCTGATGCAGTTGGCCAAAGTTGAACGAATTTCTGCCAAATTGTCCATCATGAGTTACATGGGCAACTTCTTCGAAAATATACATCTCATTACGCCACAAATTCACGCCATAATATCTGGTTCTTCCTCTGTTAAGTCTTCGACGAAACTAAGGAATGTTCTCGAAATTATTCTGGCGTTCGGTAACTATTTGAATAGCAGTAAGCGGGGTCCTGCGTACGGGTTCAAGCTGCAATCTTTGGATACACTAATGGATACTAAGTCCACAGATAAGAGGATATCGTTGCTACACTACATCGTGGGGACGATCAGACAGAACTTCCCTGAACTGATGAACTTTGATACAGAGTTGTTGTATATTGATAAAGCTGCTCAAGGTCAGTTAGTTTTGGTGTTAAGTTGTAAACTATTAGTTTGTTTTATTAGGAAAAACGATTTAGTTTAAATAGTATATAGATTAGAATCATGTTCTTCGTTTATAAAGATTTTTAATACCTACTGAACATTACATACATTTTATGGATTTACCATCACATTTATGTTATGTTTAATATTTAGTTGAAATATAAAATATAACTTTTAACTCATTAGACGAATTGCTTTGTAAATATTTTTATAAATAAATCCACTAACTTAAAAATTGAAGAGTCGGTTTTGCTCTTAAAAATGTAAGATTTGGGTAACTTTTATATGTGTCAGTGTATTTTTTGATTTACATGAAGGTATTGTACATATTTCACTTTAAATTGTTTTCCAAAAATATTTCTAAATAGTTCTCAATAGTTAGAAAAAGTCGTCAAAACCAGAATTATAAACCGAATAATTTTGGATTGGGGACTTTTTTTTTAAAAAGGGAAGAGATAAAATGGAGCATATGCATCCTGTACGTTATGCACACGACTCGTTTCTTTAAATATGCAACGACGTGTTAGTCTGCCGACGAGTTGATGTCCAAGCTTTGTCGTAAAACGTATTCATGAAATAAAAAGGGTCAGTTGAAGTACGTCAAACTGAAATTCAAAATATTTTTAGTAGTTTCAAACGTGTAGACTCTAAGAGATCACGTTTCTTCGATAGGTTGTATTGATATCGATATGTACGATGTGCAGTGTCGCTGGAGAACGTGGCGGGCGACGTGTGCGAGCTGGAGCGCGGCATGGAGGCGGTGCGGCGCGAGGCGGAGGCGCGCGACGGGCACCGCGCCACCGGACACGTGCTGCGCGACTTCCTCGCCAACGCCGCCGACAAGCTGCGCCGACTGCGCCACGAGACCAAGCACGCGCAGGTACACTCACACACACTTCTCACCTTACTTTATCTGTACGACGGGCACCGCGCCACCGGACACGTGCTGCGCGACTTCCTCGCCAACGCCGCCGACAAGCTGCGCCGACTGCGCCACGAGACCAAGCACGCGCAGGTACACTCACACACACTTCTCACCTTACTTTATCTGTACGACGGGCACCGCGCCACCGGACACGTGCTGCGCGACTTCCTCGCCAACGCCGCCGACAAGCTGCGCCGACTGCGCCACGAGACCAAGCACGCGCAGGTACACTCACACACACTTCTCACCTTACTTTATCTGTACGACGGGCACCGCGCCACCGGACACGTGCTGCGCGACTTCCTCGCCAACGCCGCCGACAAGCTGCGCCGACTGCGCCACGAGACCAAGCACGCGCAGGTACACTCACACACACTTCTCACCTTACTTTATCTGTACGACGGGCACCGCGCCACCGGACACGTGCTGCGCGACTTCCTCGCCAACGCCGCCGACAAGCTGCGCCGACTGCGCCACGAGACCAAGCACGCGCAGGTACACTCACACACACTTCTCACCTTACTTTATCTGTACGACGGGCACCGCGCCACCGGACACGTGCTGCGCGACTTCCTCGCCAACGCCGCCGACAAGCTGCGCCGACTGCGCCACGAGACCAAGCACGCGCAGGTACACTCACACACACTTCTCACCTTACTTTATCTGTACGACGGGCACCGCGCCACCGGACACGTGCTGCGCGACTTCCTCGCCAACGCCGCCGACAAGCTGCGCCGACTGCGCCACGAGACCAAGCACGCGCAGGTACACTCACACACACTTCTCACCTTACTTTATCTGTACGACGGGCACCGCGCCACCGGACACGTGCTGCGCGACTTCCTCGCCAACGCCGCCGACAAGCTGCGCCGACTGCGCCACGAGACCAAGCACGCGCAGGTACACTCACACACACTTCTCACCTTACTTTATCTGTACGACGGGCACCGCGCCACCGGACACGTGCTGCGCGACTTCCTCGCCAACGCCGCCGACAAGCTGCGCCGACTGCGCCACGAGACCAAGCACGCGCAGGTACACTCACACACACTTCTCACCTTACTTTATCTGTACGACGGGCACCGCGCCACCGGACACGTGCTGCGCGACTTCCTCGCCAACGCCGCCGACAAGCTGCGCCGACTGCGCCACGAGACCAAGCACGCGCAGGTACACTCACACACACTTCTCACCTTACTTTATCTGTACGACGGGCACCGCGCCACCGGACACGTGCTGCGCGACTTCCTCGCCAACGCCGCCGACAAGCTGCGCCGACTGCGCCACGAGACCAAGCACGCGCAGGTACACTCACACACACTTCTCACCTTACTTTATCTGTACGACGGGCACCGCGCCACCGGACACGTGCTGCGCGACTTCCTCGCCAACGCCGCCGACAAGCTGCGCCGACTGCGCCACGAGACCAAGCACGCGCAGGTACACTCACACACACTTCTCACCTTACTTTATCTGTACGACGGGCACCGCGCCACCGGACACGTGCTGCGCGACTTCCTCGCCAACGCCGCCGACAAGCTGCGCCGACTGCGCCACGAGACCAAGCACGCGCAGGTACACTCACACACACTTCTCACCTTACTTTATCTGTACGACGGGCACCGCGCCACCGGACACGTGCTGCGCGACTTCCTCGCCAACGCCGCCGACAAGCTGCGCCGACTGCGCCACGAGACCAAGCACGCGCAGGTACACTCACACACACTTCTCACCTTACTTTATCTGTACGACGGGCACCGCGCCACCGGACACGTGCTGCGCGACTTCCTCGCCAACGCCGCCGACAAGCTGCGCCGACTGCGCCACGAGACCAAGCACGCGCAGGTACACTCACACACACTTCTCACCTTACTTTATCTGTACGACGGGCACCGCGCCACCGGACACGTGCTGCGCGACTTCCTCGCCAACGCCGCCGACAAGCTGCGCCGACTGCGCCACGAGACCAAGCACGCGCAGGTACACTCACACACACTTCTCACCTTACTTTATCTGTACGACGGGCACCGCGCCACCGGACACGTGCTGCGCGACTTCCTCGCCAACGCCGCCGACAAGCTGCGCCGACTGCGCCACGAGACCAAGCACGCGCAGGTACACTCACACACACTTCTCACCTTACTTTATCTGTACGACGGGCACCGCGCCACCGGACACGTGCTGCGCGACTTCCTCGCCAACGCCGCCGACAAGCTGCGCCGACTGCGCCACGAGACCAAGCACGCGCAGGTACACTCACACACACTTCTCACCTTCCTTGTCTGTACGACGGGCACCGCGCCACCGGACACGTGCTGCGCGACTTCCTCGCCAACGCCGCCGACAAGCTGCGCCGACTGCGCCACGAGACCAAGCACGCGCAGGTACACTCACACACACTTCTCACCTTACTTTATCTGTACGACGGGCACCGCGCCACCGGACACGTGCTGCGCGACTTCCTCGCCAACGCCGCCGACAAGCTGCGCCGACTGCGCCACGAGACCAAGCACGCGCAGGTACACTCACACACACTTCTCACCTTACTTTATCTGTACGACGGGCACCGCGCCACCGGACACGTGCTGCGCGACTTCCTCGCCAACGCCGCCGACAAGCTGCGCCGACTGCGCCACGAGACCAAGCACGCGCAGGTACACTCACACACACTTCTCACCTTACTTTATCTGTACGACGGGCACCGCGCCACCGGACACGTGCTGCGCGACTTCCTCGCCAACGCCGCCGACAAGCTGCGCCGACTGCGCCACGAGACCAAGCACGCGCAGGTACACTCACACACACTTCTCACCTTACTTTATCTGTACGACGGGCACCGCGCCACCGGACACGTGCTGCGCGACTTCCTCGCCAACGCCGCCGACAAGCTGCGCCGACTGCGCCACGAGACCAAGCACGCGCAGGTACACTCACACACACTTCTCACCTTACTTTATCTGTACGACGGGCACCGCGCCACCGGACACGTGCTGCGCGACTTCCTCGCCAACGCCGCCGACAAGCTGCGCCGACTGCGCCACGAGACCAAGCACGCGCAGGTACACTCACACACACTTCTCACCTTACTTTATCTGTACGACGGGCACCGCGCCACCGGACACGTGCTGCGCGACTTCCTCGCCAACGCCGCCGACAAGCTGCGCCGACTGCGCCACGAGACCAAGCACGCGCAGGTACACTCACACACACTTCTCACCTTACTTTATCTGTACGACGGGCACCGCGCCACCGGACACGTGCTGCGCGACTTCCTCGCCAACGCCGCCGACAAGCTGCGCCGACTGCGCCACGAGACCAAGCACGCGCAGGTACACTCACACACACTTCTCACCTTACTTTATCTGTACGACGGGCACCGCGCCACCGGACACGTGCTGCGCGACTTCCTCGCCAACGCCGCCGACAAGCTGCGCCGACTGCGCCACGAGACCAAGCACGCGCAGGTACACTCACACACACTTCTCACCTTACTTTATCTGTACGACGGGCACCGCGCCACCGGACACGTGCTGCGCGACTTCCTCGCCAACGCCGCCGACAAGCTGCGCCGACTGCGCCACGAGACCAAGCACGCGCAGGTACACTCACACACACTTCTCACCTTACTTTATCTGTACGACGGGCACCGCGCCACCGGACACGTGCTGCGCGACTTCCTCGCCAACGCCGCCGACAAGCTGCGCCGACTGCGCCACGAGACCAAGCACGCGCAGGTACACTCACACACACTTCTCACCTTACTTTATCTGTACGACGGGCACCGCGCCACCGGACACGTGCTGCGCGACTTCCTCGCCAACGCCGCCGACAAGCTGCGCCGACTGCGCCACGAGACCAAGCACGCGCAGGTACACTCACACACACTTCTCACCTTACTTTATCTGTACGACGGGCACCGCGCCACCGGACACGTGCTGCGCGACTTCCTCGCCAACGCCGCCGACAAGCTGCGCCGACTGCGCCACGAGACCAAGCACGCGCAGGTACACTCACACACACTTCTCACCTTACTTTATCTGTACGACGGGCACCGCGCCACCGGACACGTGCTGCGCGACTTCCTCGCCAACGCCGCCGACAAGCTGCGCCGACTGCGCCACGAGACCAAGCACGCGCAGGTACACTCACACACACTTCTCACCTTACTTTATCTGTACGACGGGCACCGCGCCACCGGACACGTGCTGCGCGACTTCCTCGCCAACGCCGCCGACAAGCTGCGCCGACTGCGCCACGAGACCAAGCACGCGCAGGTACACTCACACACACTTCTCACCTTACTTTATCTGTACGACGGGCACCGCGCCACCGGACACGTGCTGCGCGACTTCCTCGCCAACGCCGCCGACAAGCTGCGCCGACTGCGCCACGAGACCAAGCACGCGCAGGTACACTCACACACACTTCTCACCTTACTTTATCTGTACGACGGGCACCGCGCCACCGGACACGTGCTGCGCGACTTCCTCGCCAACGCCGCCGACAAGCTGCGCCGACTGCGCCACGAGACCAAGCACGCGCAGGTACACTCACACACACTTCTCACCTTACTTTATCTGTACGACGGGCACCGCGCCACCGGACACGTGCTGCGCGACTTCCTCGCCAACGCCGCCGACAAGCTGCGCCGACTGCGCCACGAGACCAAGCACGCGCAGGTACACTCACACACACTTCTCACCTTACTTTATCTGTACGACGGGCACCGCGCCACCGGACACGTGCTGCGCGACTTCCTCGCCAACGCCGCCGACAAGCTGCGCCGACTGCGCCACGAGACCAAGCACGCGCAGGTACACTCACACACACTTCTCACCTTACTTTATCTGTACGACGGGCACCGCGCCACCGGACACGTGCTGCGCGACTTCCTCGCCAACGCCGCCGACAAGCTGCGCCGACTGCGCCACGAGACCAAGCACGCGCAGGTACACTCACACACACTTCTCACCTTACTTTATCTGTACGACGGGCACCGCGCCACCGGACACGTGCTGCGCGACTTCCTCGCCAACGCCGCCGACAAGCTGCGCCGACTGCGCCACGAGACCAAGCACGCGCAGGTACACTCACACACACTTCTCACCCTACTTTATCTGTACGAAGATAACACTTTTTGCCCCGCATAACCAATCTGTGGAACGGGATATCGTCTGCGGTATTTCCGGACCGATACGACCTTCAAACCAAAACAAACGAACATACTCCTTCCTAAAAGGCCGGCAACGCGTTTGTGACTCATGAGTTGCAGACGTTCATGGGCGGCGATGGTCGCTTTCCATTAGGTGAACCGTCTGCTCGTTTGCCCCCTCTGACATAAAAAAAAGACTGTAACTACTAACTTCTTACTAAGGCTAAACTAAAAAAAACGGATTTTTTTTCACACACACATACACACACACACACATCTCATGCACTAATAAAATCAACCGACATACCAACAAGACTCCAGCACTGTAACTGCCTATCACAGGCTGCTCAATAGCCTATCTAGGAGTACAGTACTCAACCCATGGTTTAGTTAACAATATGAAAATTGTCATCCATTATACTGAATACATGTATACCAATTTTTGTTTTATAAATTATTATTATTTTCACCTCATTTTTATATAAATGAAGTTTTGACCTGCAAAATATGTAAATATTACATACAAAAACTACAGTCCGTTTATAAGAATTATCAGTAGGTATTAAGAAATTATGGTTTCACCAGAATCCAAGAAATTATCATTACGTTCTTCTAACTTCGAATCTACTTTTCACCATTTCCTAAGTCCTAATAATATCGACGTTCAAAAAATAAACCTTTGACTAAATATAGAATTATTTTTGTGCAGGATTCTTTCGCGTCGTGCGTGGAATACTTCGGAGAGGCGCCTCGCGGGTGCGACGCCAATGCTTTCTTCTCGCTTCTCGTAAGATTTACGAGAGCGTACAAGGTTTGTAAGACATTCTTTTGTCGTTTATGCCATTTCTGATCATATATAATTTATTTAAAAAAAGACAACTCCCGCACAAGGATATGATTTGATGTTAGATCTTACACATTATTTGTGACTTTTTATTTATAAATATATATTCTTACTTCACTTACAATTTATTAATATCTTATGTAAATAAAATCCCCAAACATCTCATACGCGGCCGTCTGATCCCAAACTAGGCCGAGCCTGTGCTATGGTAACCAAACTGCTGATAAACTTACTTACATATAACTAAATACATATTATAGATAAATTACACCCAGATAAAACAAATGATAGTGATAACACAATTATTTATTTAGGGTGGGATTCGAACCCACGACCTCTGGCTTAGCAGTCAGTATTACTTACACTTGACCAACACGCCCGTTGAATGCTGCTCTGTCCCTTTCTAATCATCGCTAGTATCTATCGTCTACTGTACTTGAAAAGATCGAACGTGTCGTTATATTACCATCAAAACAATGTTGTGGTATATTTAATAGTGCCATTGTATCTACCTGTGAATTGCAAAAGAGTGGCCATGAGTTTCTCTTTCTCTTTTCTCTTTCTTTCTCTTTCTTCTCATAAGGCTCAACCCCTTGGAAACGGGCGGTTGTAGATCGGCACAGGCATATTATAGATTTTGTATGGGTATGATTTTTGTTAAATTTATTTGCTTACTATTTGACAAAACAGAGATTGTTGCTTGTGCTTGTTGATGTGTGTTTGATCTAAGACTTTAGAGTCTACATAAAAGACGATTTCAAACAATTTTGAAAATTTTATGAAATAAAAAGAGTTTACCATAAACTATATAATAAAAATCAAAAAGCTAAAATATATTTTGCACCTTCCAGCAAGCTGATGCAGAGAACGAACAACGACGACGTCTGGAGCAGGCGGCGGCGCAACAGGACCATGTCGACCCTAACAAAGCTAAGCTGGTGCAGAAAAAACAACAGGTATGTGTGGAAGCTATTTTGGTTCTTGTGGCCAGCGTTTTAACGAATATAATGCCGTACCTGGACAGATAGAACTGTTCTGAAGTTTAAGCGTTGTTTAGTAAAGACTGGTTAAATCAACGATTATAATTAATTGTATAGAAAAAGATGTCTGAGCTTCCTATACATAGCAATATATCCCCCATTTTAACTTTAACAAACTTTTAGTAGTATTAAAAACTGAAAAATCAGTCATTGGATAAATTGAAGATTAAACATTATTCTTGTAATATACCTTAAAGAGAAATGTTAATTGTAATAGCCTACAAGCTTTTAAAGTTACAAAAAATTCTAGTAAACTTATTTTTTTTCTACACCAAACAAGTCTCAGACACTTTCTGCTTATAACCATGCCCCTTCTTATATTGGAAAAAGTCTTTGTATGAATTTCACTAGAGGTATTCACCCTTCTAAAACCATATAGAACTAAATTCAATTAGACTGACTATACTCAACGTTTTTAGAAATACAAAAAAAACTAACATCAAATCTTCAAAAACAAAAAAAAACTAACATCAAATCTTCAAAAACAACAAAAAACTATCCTCAAATCTTCAAAAACAAAGAAAAACTAACCTCAAATCTTCAACAGCCCCATTAAATTTATTTTAAAATAATTAGTAATAAAAAAAATGTAGTAACTGTGAGAGCAGTGTTACTAAACGGCGCTTAATACCTTCTCGATGTTGCATAAGTTAGTCGCTTCGGCACAGCATAACGCTTACCGGTGAATGGACAGTATTGTAGAACCTATGTTACTGCATTATCTCATAGTAGCCCGTGGCTAAACTGTTTCTACATTAATGTTCTCATTTTCTACTAATTTATTGCAATTTTTTGTTTCGTTTTATTATCAGTGTTCTCAATCACCTTTAAGGATTTTATGTACAAAATAATTTATTAACATATGCGTTTGGATATAACATTGAGGTTAGCACCACACTTAGGATGGCAATTACTCTCAAAATGAATTTGCCAAAAACAGAATTAAACTTCATAATGGTATTCTTGATTTTAAAGTAGGTAAGTTTTTTCATGTATAAACTAATCAAAACACTTATCGATATATTACCTACATTATTAAACCACGATGGATTCTAAATTTCAAATAAACAATGATTACCTGATAAAAAAGCAATTAATGTTTTTTCGCTGTAATACTCCAGAGCCTCTCTTATCCGCTGATCGATTTCCATAATTTAGTAGACGTCATCAAGTTGCTTTACACTTGTAACATATTTGTAAGAGTGAGTGTAAACTTAAAACAATATTATATATACCATAGATGAAAAAACATCCAACAATACACATAGACTTTAAAAGTTCATTTTGAATTTCGAACATGTTTTAAAGGTGATTCAGAATACATGTGTGTTTTATTTTTATTTCACAAAAAATATGTAAAGAATTGAGTAAAAGTCTTGTTTTTATTTTGAGGTGAAAGGAAGTACAAACATTGAACATTAAAACACATTATATCATAGTGGTGATGGTGAATTTTATTTGTTTGGTAGATATGGTAACACTTTTTTTAAAAAAATACATAAATCCTTTTTCGCAACCTTCGTTAACTGTTTGTAACGCATTCAAATAGTAGCTTTAATCGATCAAAACTTAATTATTCTAATTTAGAAATAAACGAAGATTGCCAGTTAAAAAATCTATGTTTTTTTTGGGTCTCATCATTTTCGAACATCAGTGTTGCTAGATCTACCGTTATTAAAATCGTAGTAGGTGATGGTAACACATAAACTTTCTCACAGAGGTTTAACTACGCGACCGTCAACGCAGGACTATTGCAGCAACACTTGTCTCAGTTGAGGCACAGTCTTGAGCCCGTGTAGAACTCTCCCGGCCCCAAGGCCTAACACATAGGAGTAAGTGGTTCACACTCGGCCGAGCAATTGTGTGCGTGTGTACTAACCACGGTTGGGGTGTTAGTTGGTGTGTAATTTCAATATATGGCATTAATGTCAACTTTTTGAGTGGGTAGTTTTTGAGGTTAGTAAGAAATTCCTTAAAGATCCGAAACCACAGATAAGAAAAAGCACAGACTATAATTTTCTTTCGTTCCAATTACCTTTGCGACCAGTCCCTTTTCTTTAGTATGTCAAAATATACAAGTTTATTTTAAGCAAGTCACGACAATAATAGTAAAAAAGAAAATACAGCTTAAACTATATAACGTTTTAATTCAATATCACATCTATAAATCGCATCTATACAAGCACTTTGGTCCCTAAAGTAAATTGATCATCTACCGTTATGTCATTAACGTACTTGCACCAACAATGATATGAATGAAAATCAAAAAAAAAAACTCGTAATTTTCTATGTATCTGAATATTATGTCTAGCAAATTGAGAACCAGGCAATTATACAAAAAGACATTTGCCAATATTACACACCAATAATGGGTAAAAGTAACTAATTGGGTCATCATTGGGTATCAAAAACGCATGTTTTCACAGGGTCAATCTGAGGGATTGCTCCATAGCTGGTCGATAACCCTACACGCCTAGCATGCGGTACCGTGACACGATCATAGTAACCTTTGCTTATGTAAAACGGAAAACCTGACTGCGTAAGAAGTTAATTGAGCTAATAATAAAGGGTCTTGACAGACGGACAGACGGACAACAAAGTGATCCCATAAGGGTTCCGTTTCTTCCTTTAGAGGTGCGGCACCCTAAAAAACAAATGGCGCTACTTGTTTAAATATTTAGGTCACTGATTTAAAAATATAAAACGGCCTTATACAACCCAGTGGTGAGGATCTTAGGATGATGAAACTTAAGACTATTGTTAATGTCAAGTAAATTCGCAATTCATACAAAAACGAAGCGGTTCATAAAGACAGGAGTGTGTGTTTGTTTTTTATTCTACCTGTACTCCCATTATTATTGGTTATAAATAGTGTAAGGTCATCAGGTAAAAAATGATTTTCTTGTGGAAGGAAAACTTCTAACAAACCCTATTTAAACCCGTCTGGCCAGCGAGGTATAGTAGGCTAAAACGTCCTTTCTAAGGAGAGGCCGATGTCCAGTAGAGGACTATTAAAGACTGTTGTTGATGATGATGATGTGGAAGGTTATCAGAGCTCTGTAGGAGGGAAAGAGAAGGGTGCGAGGGGTACATGAGAATCTGTTTGACGGTCGTCTTTTCACCATCACGAGTTTTTTTATAACGATTGAAAGTATATCTTACAGTAGTGTTGGGACTTTCACTTCACGCAGTCAGGTAAAGGTGTGTCAAGTTTGGGATATGCACAGTAGTCAAGTGTTCTGGTAGAAGTGTGATCCATGGAATGTACTGACGGTTCTAACGAATCCTATTTAGGACGACGATATGGAGGTATCAGCACATAGTGTGAGAGACAGGTGAACGTGGAAAAACTTCTCTAAGCGTTCACAATTTATTAATAAGTGAATGTGAGAACTGCATAATCACGGTGAAATTTAGAATGGAGTAAAATCCTTATTGAAAGTTTATCGACAAATCTAGAAGCTCACGTAACAATTAAAACTGCATGATATTTATGAAATAAGAGTTACAGAACGTACCCATGCCACGTGATCCGATCGGGGTGGGAGCGGGGCTGGGCGTCTTTATAATACCACGCTTGGTCACAGGGGAGGGCTTAGCTTTTCGTCGAGTAGTCGTAACTTTTTTTTTTTATTGAGCTACAAATGATTTAAAACTAAACTAATGAATTACTACGTGAAAACTATTGGAGGAGGAGGAGAAACCCCCCCGGTTTAATGAATTACCACTTGAAAACTGGTGGGAAATGGAGGGGGTCTTACAGTGTACTTCTCCCCTGCTAGTTGTTAAGTAGTAATTTATTAGTTTGGTTCTAATTCATTTGTTACGAACAGAAATTAAAAAAAAATGGGGTGACGGGTGGGAGGGGTTTAAAAATATAAAGAAAAGGGATCACGTAGTATAGGTACGTTCCCTTAGAGGTGTATTAATTTTGAAGCGGCCATATATAGGAGTGTGTTCGGTGTATTTACTTAGAAATAAAAGAACATATATTAGCTTTAAACACTGCACCGTCACGCACCATTCATCATACATAAAACACAACTCCACTTTATTGCACTAGTGTTTACTATGAATATACCTTAATTGGATTTTTTGTTTAATTGTAATTATGAACATTCTAAACTAATTTAATCTAGGATCAAAGGAAGAGTTAACGTTTTGTTATTTTTTGTTAAATGATTAAGGTTTATTACTTACTTTTTCAATTTTCAATCTGTTGGTATAGTGGCAATCACAGGACTTAAATGTAATTTTATTATTCGTTACATTAAATATGGTGTAATTCCATTCTATTGTACAATAAGAAATACTTTGAAAAATTAGAACATTTGAAAAATTACATAAGCCTGTGAGGCCTACTATTACAAATATAGCAATAGGGTTGCCATGATAGAAACATAATATTATAATTCCATAAACATACTACCCGTTTTTTTGGGAACCAATTAATCAAAATTAAAACTATGATTTATTTATATGGCAATTCTATTATGTTGAATGATGACTTGTATAGAAAATACTGAATGTACATATTTTCTTGTTACGCTGCACTTGCATGGAATCTAACAGGGAATGTATTTATATAATAATATTTTATATTCTTAACATCATGCTACATGTATTTATTTTTGTGGATTTAGTATATAAGTTATGTGTGCAGGATGTATTTGTCAGCTTTATTTATACGGTGTATTTAGAATTATTATAACTGTCAAAATATTGGAGTATCAAAATCAAGTGAGTATAAGAAAGACATGCTGAACTTCTATGATGACAAAATATAATTTCTTCCCAAGTTCCGAAGCCTGACTGAGTGGTGATATTGCAGATATCTTTCTTTTTGCATTTGCCTCTTGGTAGTATATACTAGGCTATCAGAGTTAAAGCAGTTCAGACAAAAGTACATAAGAAGAAAATACTCTGTCCGTTTATTTATTTTTTGTCATTTCAATTATTAGTCAATTAGTAATAACCCTTAATGTCGCGGAATCGATTAAAAATAATCATCGATTTTGTTTAAAATGAACTTTTTTAACCGATTTAAAAGAATAAAAATTAACATTTTTTTATAAAATAATTGAACCCGTTATCCACATTTAAAATAAAAAAAATATATTTTTAATCTGTTCGTTACTCCAAGTTTGAATTTTGTCATTTAGCAGTTACAGTAGTTTGCAAGTTACAGCATATTCTCAGATAACTGTCAAAAATAAAATAATGAAGGGACAGAGTATTAAAATTACTTTCACAATGCATATTTCGAAATGCTTTAAGAAAGTGCTAAATAAAGTTTAGCAATTGTATTCCGGCAAGGATATTTTTTAAGGCTTTCATACCTTAACTATAAAATGTAGTAACATTAAATCTTCAATTTAATAAATGAGTAACTGTTATGTAGCTCGTGTAGTTTTTTCCAAGACTCTTTAATATCAAGTACTGCAGTTAAATAGACCTCAGTAGTTCTAAGCATGTTTTATAATACTACGTTTTATTTTTTAGTAGCTAAATAATGCCCTGTAATATTAGGCTCGATTTAAAATTATTTAAACAATGAAAAACTTAAACTGAAATGAAAAACTAATGTATCGTCTCGATTTTATAGGAAGCTGTAATCAACGAACTAAAAACGAAGTCGCAGGCCGTCGGCGAAAAGAAACTGCTTCACCAAGACGAAGTATACAACGGCGCATTGGAGGATATTTTACACGGGCTACGGAGCGAGCCGTATCGCCGCGCTGACGCCGTCCGCCGCTCACACCGACGTCGCATCAACTCACACCGACTCTCCAAAGGGCTTGAGGAACTGGATGTATGATATGAGCTCGACTCCAGTGACTCACTGGATTCTCATGTACTAAATGCTGTTAAAACCATAAATGCACGCTGCAACACTGACCTTAATATCAAGAAGAAACGGTGCAAGGACCTCGAGATGGTACCCAAAAATAAAACCATTGCTATTTATAATATTGAGGATAACGTTGCAGATTTTAAAGAAGTTTCGATAAATGAGGGTAGTAGTAGAAAAAAATCAACTTATAGAGTTGCGCCGGCTGATTGTGAGGTTGAGGAGCGCTGCGAGCTCATCAAGTCTACTTACGAAGTAATATCGAAGTACACGAGAGCTATGTTCGACAAGCAAAACGAAACCGTCGTATAAACGATGTGCCTATGTATTACGTATATTGCACTTAAGTTTTTTTTTAATTTTCTCATTGTTTATTGGCTTACTGTGTTGTTGGCCTAAAAGGTGAATAAAATCAAAACGTCCGAAAATTCAAAAATTTAAAAAACGAATTTGAAAATGCTGCCAGACATGTAAAGTATGGCCATTTAAAAATATTTTACCCAAAAGTTGGGTGCAATATAAGTGAAGATATAAGTAAGTTTGATACGCCTACTATTCATTCCATTACACGCGACAGCGGTAACCAGTATTTTGCTACGATGCCATTTACACATGTTTTGGTTTTCTATACGAAAGCTTAGCTTTTAATACCGTCTAGATGTCCATAGCTGATTTACAAACACGAAAATTAGTCGTTCAGTCATTTCAATATGAATCTCATGCACAAATTAACATAAGGCTGGTATATATAACGAATTTTTAAAATAAAACCAACAAAACTAGAAAATAGTATACAATGCTATGGGCATATAGTCCCGCTAGAACAGAATTGGCCTTTAATAGACGCACACGGTTTTGTACGCGATTTTTAGTAGTAATAATAATAATAAGTATTAATTACAGTGTCCTTATATATGTACACATATACACTTTTGCGAACCAATAAATGATTATTAGTAGTATTTTTAATATAGTATGGAACATACGCATTTAAGATTTAGCATTTTTACGTAACTTGTGATAGTTCAAATAATTTTATTATGCTGATGCGATATATGTGGACAAATTTAGTGGTGGTGTGCTAGTAAATAGTTGTCTGGGCCATCATAATAGCCTTGTTTTAATTCCAACATCAAATGTAGCAATAGGTATATTTTGGGGCATTCAATTCGGATGTATATTCTTTATATTGGTTTAGTATATGCAATTCTTATAACGTATGTAAATAACTCCAAAATTCATTCAATTGCTGTATTCGTGCAGCATAACTTCATTATCTTCATCCTCTTAAAACTTCTACTTCTGACCATAGGTGCCCAAAGCGGTTTTAGGTATTTTGTCAGCTATTCATACCCTTAACAGACTTACATTACAATAAAAAACAATATAATTACACATATGTAATTATATTTTTTTTATTTTTTCACACATGTAACATTATACACATTTTATTTTATCTGGCAACCCCAACATTTGTCCCACAATGTCGTATCTGTATGTACTATTAGTATTTGTTATTGTGTCAACACACAAACGCTGAAATAATTCAGTGGCCCTATATATGTATCCTGATACTAGTACGAACATGACACTATAGTTAATAATAATTTATACAATTCTATTCCATTTAGGTTAGGTTTTGTACACAGTAATATTTCTTAGGTTTCAGTTATCATTATATTATATATGTTAGTTTTTTTTAAAGAATATGGTACATTTTAAGAGTCGTATTTGGGCATCAAGTTACCGTGAAGAATGGTTTATTTAATGAACGCCGTTTTCTATTGCCATGAATATAAAAAATCTTAAAATAATAATACAAAATCTCGAAATTAAAACACATTGAAACGGTGTCGTAACTGAGCTAAATAAGGCCAAGTCGTATCGTTTTATCGTTCAAAGCGCATAAAACGTATCCTATATTATATTAATTGGTAATACTATATCAATTTCCATTACTATATTAACTTCAGAACAAAAATAGTGCTAATCTCGTAAATAAGCAAAGACCAATCTTGAGAAGGAAAACGGGGACAATTCAGATTGGAGACTGCTTGATGACTAAGTGCGACTGTTAAACTATAGCCATTTTTATCAGAAACATACAAATTATAATTATTATTGTACATATTCGTTTTAAAATATATTTTTGCCTGTAAAAGTTTCCATTTCAAAATGTTAATCGCATAAAATAGGTAATGTAAATATTGTATTTTTTATAACTATATGTATTCACTCAAGGTACTTGAGAATAGCAAGCAATATAATGTTTAAGGTATATCTGATATGTTCCCCTGGAATCGGTACTTTTACAATAAGTTTAATTAGTTTATTTAATCCAGTGAATTATTTAATATATTGATGCTTTTGCACTAAGCTTGAATGCTCAGTGATTGAAATCATACAGTTGAATTGGTTTTATTTATTATTTTGTAATACAATTAAAAAGAAAGATGGTGTTTTTATTTTGCTTATTTTATACTTTAATTGCTGGTCAGAGTATTAAAGAATGTTTAATTATTGTATTATTTTATTTCTCAACGTTTTTTTTTAACTCGCATGTGTCGTATGATTTTACTAACTTAGCACTCAAACGTAATTACTAAATAGAGGTGCTTATTCGCACATTAGCTTTTAATTATTAATTCTCGCTAAGTCAACAAGATATATTTATTGGATTTTTGTTCGGGAGTTGTAAAAATATACAGGGTTATGTTATATAACATGTGAATTTGCACAAACGTAGGTTCGGTTCATTCATGCGCCTTTATACACTAAGTTGAAGAATTTTATCTTGCGGTGTAAAGTAATACGAACTTTATCTGTAGTATTGTAAGGTTTGTTTTGATTTCTCAATTTATTTTCTAAATAAAAATAAAGTAATATATTTTTCGCTGCTAATTTTTATGGAAATAAAATATTGTAGATACTGCTTAAATGAAATTAATTGCATGGTATTATATCATTTGTCCATGCTTTTTGCAGCATTTATTAAGAAAGTCTTAATGAATGAAAGCAATGCGCCTGAGTCCATAAATACAAATAGTGCATGCACTTAAATGTAATTAAGTGCATGAATGAACCGGTGCTTCTAATATTGAATCTTATTATTGATATGTTGTGTATTATTACTATTATTAGGATAGTCGATACGGTTTCTCAAGTTATACATTTTGGATATTATTATCTTCCAATTACAGATTATTGAAGAGCAATAAATGACCCACCTAATTTATAATAAGACCAGGAGAAAGTTACTACTTCTCAGGTCTTTTGTAAAGAGTGAACATTGTATGTCTCTCTCTCTCTCTCTCTCTTTCTCTCTTTTTATTTCGTGATAATGTAGAGAATTGTAAGAGTGAGGCTTCTTTTGGACTTCTGATCGCCAAATATGCATTCTATTTCGTTTGGATTTGGTTTGAGAGCCATAGGCTATTTCGACCATGTCTTGTCGGTATCTTTTGATCTATATGTACGTATGTACAGTTCTTTTTTCATTTAATTAATTATTTGCAGACCTGTTATAATTATAATTTTCTTTAAAAAATATTTTTGTGATTACGTTAGAAAATTTATTAGTTTTTGTTTTGTTAAACATTTCCTATTTCCAATGGCTTCTTACAGTCTCCATGGACCATGGCTAGAGCAACAAATTATATGAGTTACTTATTTTACCGTATGAAATAATATTTTTGAAGAATGTTAAACAGTATTTTGCCATCTCAAAACAGGCGTTACTACAATTTTAGTGGCAACAGCCATAGATGCCTTAAGTACCAAAATTGGCGTTTAACATTAACTTTTTTGTATAACGTTCAGTAATTATGCATGTTATAAGACTTATTAATTAAAAAACCTATACTTGTGTACATTGTAAAAGTATTTAGAAACACTAATAAAACAATAATCTGTATTTGGGATTTTTTAAATATTTAAGTTTAGTAGAAATTTATAGAAACGTTTTTTGTGTATAGTTATCGTATGTGAAGGGTTTTGTATTCGATCCTGAGGTTTTGTTAGTATCGCATGTACGCTAGCATTAGTGACAGTATTCGAATGCAATAAATAAAACATACATTTAGTTACGTGTTTTCACTCACTTGCACCCCTCAAAATGTCATAGTCATCAATCATCATCAACAGCCTTTAACAGTCCACTGCTGGACATAGGCCTCTCCTTAGAAAGGAGGTTTTGGCCTACTATACCACGCTGGCCAGACGGGTTGGTATAGGGTTTGTGTCAAGTTTTCCTTCTCTCTGAAGTGCTGTTGTCCTACGTATTTCGCTCCCTTAGTCGCCTCTTACGACTCCCACGGGATGAATAGGGGTGTCACCACCCTCCCTCTGTATTCTTAATCCGTCACCACACGGATGACATAGGATGTCATAGTACCTACCTACTAATATATACAGAATGGCAAATAAGATTATTTACCTATTTGAGATGTTTACACCGACGGTAAACTGGGATATCTATTTGCCTATCAATTATAAAGGAGCAGATTAGTAAAAAATGAATTTTGTTTTTTGTTTTAAATAAAAAACCTGGTGCAGCATTATTAATTATTCAACATATTAAATTATTGAACAGATGCCAAAGTAGAACAAAAAACGAATATAACGAAAGTTAGACAGCCTATTTGCTTAGTTTAGGTACTTTTGTGACCTAAGCTGCTATAAGCTACTAATGATGCAGACAAGTTTGGTACAGTAATTTAAGTGGCACTTTGCTACGTACGGGCTGTTCTAAATTCGAACCTGTTGTATGTAACTCAATAATTGTCTGTTAAATGTTTAAATGTAAGGAAGTAACTCCTGCCTGAGGATATTTTAAGAGTAACGTTTTCAAGATAAAAAAAAATGACTTGATTAATTCTGTCTTAAGAAAACAATAAAACATTATAATAAATAAAACAATTATAAAAATAATGGTATACACATAATATACAAAATAAGGTGCTATCTTCAGTCTATAAGTTCTAAATCCACTAGGGTAACTGATTGAGGAAGTACTTGAAGGCAGTTCTAGCTTCTGATACTGAATGGGGTCGCTAAAGCTCCATTAGAATACACATACGTATCTCACACACGTACACTCATAATAAGGATGCATTTACACAATGATCAGAGGCGCAGGTGCGGGTTATATTTCACATCTACTCGAACGTCACGGTGACCGCACTCGGCGCTGTGATTGGCCCACACTGAAATCTCCACCAATCACAACGCCAAACGCGCTCGCTTTCGAGAGCGGCTTGACGTGAAATAAATTTACACTAGGCCCTCAGTATTAGCAAATTCGATAATGAATTTCACTATTGTATCCGGTTTAGCCATACCACCTACTCCATAACTGCCACAAAGTAACTTTTTACGAATCGGTGGTATTTCTATGAAGCCCCATTTCTTAAGAGTGGCTAAGTGTTGAGCGGTGATCGGATGCGCCCACATATTTGGATTCATTCCAGGGCAGAAGACCACCGGCTTGTTTAGGGGCCAACATCGAATGGTAATCGTTACAAGATTGTCGGACATACCCTGGAACAATATAATTTGAAATATTTATAACACTACCTGTGGAATATGTGGCCCTATATTCTTAATTTTTTGTTCGATTTTGGATCCCAATGTGAAGGTAAGAGTCAAGGGAAAAAATACATATGCAATATATCTCTGCCCTGGTTCTAACTGAGGAGGTAAGTTTCCTAAGAAATTTGATACTGTTTCTTCAGCAGGGAGCAAATTGAAAAGGTGTGGATGGGTCTACTATCTCTGCATTGTGGCAGAAGTAATGTCAGAGCTTGGTAACCTTAACAAAGTAGGGTAGGGTAGAGGTGGAGATCAAAAAATGCTACATACTGCATGTATGTAGCATTCAGTAGTCTTGCTACAAGCTCTGTGCCTTCTATTTTTGATCCCTATTACTTTTAAATAATGACTTTACAGTTTTTTGGGCAGGTTCATCAGCAGGACTTAGTAAAAGACTCACTTGTGCAATTTTAGACATCGTGTTGGCATTTAATGGTGCAATTAGCAACATGTCAGCCATTTCTGCTAGCTCAACATGGAGAATACGATCACCAGGGCGATGCCAGAACTGACTTGCGATTTCGTCGTCATATACATGTACTTCTGGAGGGACATCTTCTATTTTGAAAAACCGCTTTGCAGCTTTCGTAGCTATAAGATATACCTACAACCATAATTTGCTTTTCAATATGTATAAAGACCAATCTTAGAAGCCATTTAGTCAGTTTTAACTCAAGGAAGGACAAGAACAAAAAACAGCTTTCGATTGGTATTTTAGCTAAAAATGGAGTAAGTGGCGACCCTTTACATAGAATTTTTTCAATTGTCCTATGGTATTACACGTTGGTTCATGGCAGTATACGATAGCCATTCTAACCTCTTACAATTTGTATCGCCGCATCGTAAACGCCATATATTGTAAAAAGGAAAACGTTTTTTGATGAAAACTGATAAATATCAGTGTTATAGAAGGCAGTGACGCATAAGAGAGTATCCTACTTACAATTTGGTGAAGTATAGAAACGAAAATCTGCTATTTGACTATAACTGCACACAAATAAGATCTGAAATCTTTGTCACCGGGTGATTCTAAGTATAATAGATGTTGCTACTTACGTCCATATTAGGAACATAAGAATCACTTAGTCAAGTTATATTCGTCTGGTCGTTTTGCGATGCGGCTGATTCTACTATTGCACTGCGATATGTCGCACCTCAAACTTATAATTAGTTGCACAGATTGGCTGGTCCAACAGAGTTTTTAACAGGAGCGGTATTTTAATTGCAGCGATACTTCCTGTAGCCGCTAAAAGTAATCTGAATACTGGTACATCCATTTGAGAAATTTCAAATAGGTACTACATGCTATTGATCTGCAAAAACTTATTATATTAAATGTTTACGACAAACTTTCATGTATGTAGAAAAGAAAACTTGACGAAAGATAGTTTGACATAGGACCATCGATCAGATACAATTATAAACAATTTTTTTGTGACTAATGGTGTATTGAGGTAATATGCTTAAAACGACCTCTATTATACGTGTTATGAGCAAAGAGCATAGAAATATAGAGGAAGCGAACAAGGCGCTATCGCATACGGTTGGTAGAGAGAGAACGAACGTTTTTTGGTCTTGCAACTGCTCCCTGCCTTTGCAACTGTTTCGCTATTTAAATCCCCTTTTTAGTATCAGCCAATCAGTGCAGAGAGGAGAGAGATAGATGCAAGACCAAAACAATATATTTCTCGGTGTCACAGCCGTACGCTTCCACTTACAAGACGAATATACAGTTCGCTCCCTCTCTTATATTATCTCTATGGTTATGAGTCCTCTATTATCAATTTTTGTCATTGACAAAGAATAGATTATATCTAAAATACCACTAAGCTCTATTATACAAGTAATCAAGTACGTACCTGGGGTCAGTGTAAAATACCCATCAGTCTTCATCTAGCGAATCTAAACTCCTTACTGGAAAGCTCAGGCAAAGGCAAGCGATGTGAAAAAAGTATGTGTGTCAACTTCGACGAAACTCCAGTCGTGGAGTTTACTCGCCAAGAACGATTCGGCTACACACAAGTATATAAGTTATACACACACGTTAGGTTGCCGATTCTTAAGGAGTAAACGCCAATAACCATGACCAGTTAAAAAAATATTAAAACTATGTTCCCCCTAAACTATCGATTTTAAAATATTTGCATTGATTTAGCATAATTAAAGTTGCAAACATACTACAACTAATTGTTACGAGCTCGTGGACTTAATAAGATCAATATATCGAATTACGCACGATATACACATGTTTTACTTCATTTAAACCTTGTTCACTATTCTTCAAACTAGTTTACTCGCTGTATCGCAGAACTAGAATAATAATAATAATATTTCAGACATCTGACACACAACGCCATCTAGTTTCAAACTCAGCAGAGCTTGTACTATAAAAGCTAGATTGACTGATAGAATACCTACATACTTTTTTATAAATACATACATATTATACATAGAAAACACCTAAACGCCGAAACAAATATTTGCAGATCATACCAATATTTGGTCCAACCCGGGAATTGCACCCTAGACTGCCTCCCGAGGCAGTCAAGTCAGTGTAGTAATTGCAAAAGTAAATGCCAAACCTCGCCGCGTAGTGCAGTCATTCGACTGCACTACGCGGCGAGGTTTGCGAAAATTCCTAAAAATCTCGTAATAACTCGAGAATTCGTAGGAACCAAACGAGCAGACGAGTCACCTGAGGGCTGAGTGCAAGTTTATTTCACATTGCCTCGCTCTCGACGGCGAGCACGTTGAGCGTTGCGAGTGGTGGAGACTTCAGTGCGGTCCAATCGTAGCTCCGAACGCGGTCACCGTGACGATCGAGTAGAAGTGAAATAAACTCCCACTGGGCCCAAAGCCTGTACTACGGTAACCAGACTGCTGATAAACATACTTGATATATTTCCAAATACATACATATGGTAGATAAAAAAAAAGCCGTGTGGTGTCGTGGGACACCCGATAGGAACGAAGTTGTGACGATCGAGTAAAACTGATTCGACACGATTTTAATTACAACGCCATCTATGAAAGCGGCTATTACCTACATATTTTTCAGTTGGTTTCTGATTAAAACAATTAATACATTAGTAAAATCTCCTTGAGAAATGATGTCGAATACAATATTTTTTGCTAAACCTAAGAACATAAATTTTAATTTTACTGAGATGAAAAGTAATGATTTCCTATCTATTCGATAGATGGCGCTGAATGACTGACAAGTGACAATTCACAATAAAAAGTGTTGTTACAACTTTTCGTGAGAATTTTTTCCGTCTAGCCCCCTTTCACAACGCGCGATAAGGAACTTCGTTCCAATTACACCCAGACAGATCAAACGATAGTGCACATCACACAATAATTTGTCCTGGGTGGGAATCGAACCCAATAACACTAACCACTAGACCAACAGGCCCGTCAAAATAGCTTAACATCTGTTTTCTATGGATCCTAGAATCACTCCAGTCGAGCCGGCCCACTAGTGCCGAAGCATGGTAACCGTAAACCCCCCATCTCAGTTACTCTAGGGGAGAGACTCAAAAAGCGGCAACGCGCTTGTGACTTTGAGTTGCAGGTGTCCATGGGCGGTAGTAGTCACTTACCATCAGGTGAAACCTTATTTGCCATTATACCATAAAATAATTGTTCTGTCTGACATTAGAGAGGTTGTAACAATGATATACATTACGCATAGACAAAATAAAAATAAACATGAGTAATAGGTAGGTAAATATATATATTCATGATGTAAGATACAAACTTCATTTATCAAACACGCAAGCATGAATACGTTTTTTATAGTTAATGCCACAATAGTATCTGCTATTGTCTTCACTTCAGCCATGGCCCCAACTCTTATTTGTGGTTGGCTTAGTGTTTGACGTAGCAAGGGGTTTCAACTAGTTTCTCTTGTGCCCAGCCGCCTTCTCGGAGTCAACCCTAATTAGGAATGTGAATTTTCAGACCTTACAGAGAAATAAGGGGAAAATACGGTAGCGAAAACTGCTACAGTGAAGGAGCTAGGATAAATTATATCGCAAGACTCGGGTTGGTGGGGCCTGAAATTACAAGGTCCTCCTAGAGTAGGGCGCGTGGGCCCAGCAGTGGGGGTGGTTTTTATTTCAAATACCACTTAATCCTAGGTGCCTTCATCACCACGATGGCGTCTCTTGGGTCGCACAAACCTCCCTTGAGACCTATACCCGTATGACCATTCTGTGATTGGGAGACTAAACTATGTCTGATACATCAACTAGCCATAACTATTCCGGATCCATTCAGCATGATTGGGTAACAAGAAGCTATCCAAACTTTCGCATTTCTAAAAATAGTTAAGATACATTTAAGGTTTGGTTAAGTGGTCCAAAAAATGTAAAATGTTTAGATATTCTGTTTTCATAAAACTTATATTGTGGTTTTGGTTTTTGTTTGTTGAATTTTTGAATCAAGACAGTAAACAGATTGATTGTTGTAATAATGGTAAGAGCCCGATTCTAATAGCTTGGAGATCGTGCAGACAAAAAACTACGCTGTCTAGCCTGAGTCTCGTTTAGAACACGTCATAGGAAAAAACATGATGATTTGGGTTCACATGTAAAACATGATACTTTTGCTACATTACGTTCATATACGGGAGTTAACGCGATCACGTAACAGCACAGCAACATATGATAACACGAGTAAAACACACATAAGAATTTCTAAAGAAAATATATTTCAAAAAGTTTGGTCGAGCCAACTTAAATAACAAAATAGGAATATTGACATAGAATACATATAGCATTTGCAAGGAAATTTGGCCTCTCGATCCTGCTGAAGTCCCTCTAATAATGGCCTTAATATTGTTTCTTGACCTCATTTTTATTTTCAAATATTTCCAATCCAAAAACACCAAGTTTCCATAACACTGTATGTACTCTAGGTATACAATTATCACTAAGTACAATTTGTTCTTTGGTTGCAGTCATAACATCTTACGTAATTTTAAAATACATAAATTATTAAAGTATATATATAATAGAAATAATAAAAAGAAACGTGTACACAAGAGTATTCTCCTTTTTGTCAATAAAGGTAGCATATAACGGGAATGATAATTTAGATTGAGATTTCGTTTCCACGGTGAGCTACTACTTAGCAAAACACAATGTACAGTTGGTTAATAATACTTTTAAACGGGTAAATTTGCATACAACCAATCCAATTAAATATTAATTTAAGTAATTGGTTCACAAATGGCACAGATATAACGCAACATACACAGGAAAAATACTTACCTAGTCATATTGAGAATATTTTCTATTTAAAGTCTATTACATCACATTTAAATAAAATGAAAAGAAGCATAAGGCCAGAACTTTAAAATATTGTTTAAACTGCCAATGAGTTTGTTTGCTATTTTTACACAACAATAATAATTTCAAGTCAATTAATCAAATTAATTATTTTTTGGAAAATTAATGATATCCAATGTAAATTTTCCAGTAAATAATTTCAAACTCACACAACTCTATTAAATTTCTGGTCTGCAATTTTCACAATGTTGTCCATGATTGTTTGGACGTCTGCCATCCCCCCTACACCAACATCTCCGCAAATCAAAGTTTTCGCAATAGGGGGTATTTCTATATAACCCCACTGCTTCAATGTGGCTATATGCTGCGCTGTTACAGGATGTTCCCACATTCTTGTGTTCATTGCAGTGCAGAATATTAGCGGCTTGTTCATATCCCAAGCTCTTGTTGTACAAGTAAGGAGGTTATCACATAAGCCCTAGAACAAACATATAATTAATGTGTGTGGATGTTATATTTTCATTGCCTTTCACATCACACATCAACAGCCTATACTAGTCCACTGCTGGATATAGGCCTCTCCTTAGAAAGGAGGTTTTGGCCTACTATACCACGCTGGCCAGACGGGTTGGTATAGGGTTTGTTTCAAGTTTTCCTTCTCTTTGCAGTGCTGTTGTCCTGCTTAGTTTGCTCCCTTAGTCGACTCTTACGACACCCACGGGATGAATTGGGGAACCTTTAATAAACCAATAATATAAATGTTATAGAATATTGATTTAATTAATACTAGAAACATCATCAAACTCAACCAAATTATACCTAAAAATATATAATACATATAATATCATGATTGATGAAATGCCTTTTTGGAGTTAAAAAGAACAAAACTTTTATAAAACATATCAATTGGTTAATATTAATCCTAAGTACAACACATACATCATAAGTCAGGCATCCTTTTATATGATTGTGTTAGATACTGAGGTCCAAGTTGAGTTTATTTCATATCTTCGGTAGCTCTTAGTTTCGGCGCTGCGATTGGCCCACACTGAAATCTGCAGCAATCACAATGCCATAAGTGCTTGCTGTCTACAGCGAGTTGATGTGAAATAATCTCACACTTGGGGCCCCAGTATACATAATTATGGTCTATAAGTAATAAGTCAATTATGCAGTGTCATTATCTATTTATATTGTAAATCATTTTATTTTTTTAGCATAGAAATTGTACTTTTAATGACAAACCCGGCACGAATTCGCCACAAATATTGGAGGACAGGGCTGTTGGTCCAATGATTAGTAATCCTGACTGCCTGACTGAAGTCAGAATTCATGGGTTCGATTCCCACCTAGCACAAATCTGTCTGTGTCTGAGTGTATATATAAAGTATGCTGTATAGTTTATTTAAATTTTATACTTATTAATAGAGAGAAAACTAGAGGATTTTGACTCACTTGTGCCATTTTAGCCAAGGTATTGGCATCTAATGGTGCAACTACCATCATGTCCGCTAGTTTTCCAAGTTCTACGTGTAAGACTGGGTCACCTCTTTGCTGCCAGGCTTGCCACTCCAAAGCATCATCATATACTTTCACATCCGTCGGTAGGTCCGTCATCTTGAAAAAATGTTTAGCGTGCTCCGTCACTACAAGGTGAACCTACAAATACAAGCACATAATAGACAAATCCTCAGGTTTTTTCCTGTAACTTCCAAAACCTATATCAATATAACCTCAAAAACATAATTTCTTTTATCACTCGGTTCCAATAGAGATTTTATCAAAATCGGTATTTTCATAGCAGCTACACTGCCAGAGGCTGCAATCACTATTTTACAGGATCGTGGACTCATTTTAAAATTATAAAGTTTGCAATAACACTCTAATTTAGCTTTAATGTTAGGGTTCCTGCGAGAAAACTTTCCAATAACATAATAACAAATGAGTCAAGTGACACACTCAAAAGTCAAAACTGTCAATTATAATAAAACTTTGTTTTGACAGTACATTTTAAGTTAAACTTCAAAATAATCGACCACCAGTTATAATTTCGCTTTTCTACTACAAAATAAGATTATTTGAGGAAAGTTTTTGTTAACATATTATACCATATTTTTGTAAAAAAAGATGCAAAACATGTATTTTAAAACTTTTATGACGCAATATTAAAGGGTAATTTAAATTTTTACTCTAGTAACATTCGGTGCAAAATGTCATTGTTATCAAAGTAAAATATTCATAACAGAAACAGAATTACGTCAGTCTGGGTCAGTCTGAAGATTAAGTAATGGGGGACGGTAGTGTAGAATTTGTTTTTTAAATTTGTTTATATTTACGTTAAAAAATTTCGTATTATGTGATTTTTTTCAATGGTGTTCATAAGATAAGTGAGCTTTGTGTGATCGTTTATGTCTAAGTAAAAATATGTGAGTGATGTGTTAAAGTGTACGAAGTTGTTTGTTTACGATGGATGGCAAAGTGAAATACTATGAAGGTTGTGGACAGGAAGGGCCGATACGGTGTATATTTTTGTGTGAATTTCATCCTACCGCCGGACCGAAGATAACATGCCAAGTGCCAGAAAATTATATATCAAAAGATATATTTGATACAGTCAGTCACTATATAATACCTAAAGTACAACTTCAAAGATGCACTTTAACAGTGTAAGTATTACTATGGGTAGGCTGAAGTTTACGAAATTGTCAAATACTGTAAAGTTAAAACATACCATACCAACAACTATAGACTGGTTATTTCATATTCAAATTTCGCAATTATTTTTCTAGATAAATAGAATTAGTAAAATGTATTTATTTAAAATGACGTTGTCTAGCGTTTATTTCCTGTTTACAGAAGAGTTTCCATCGATAATAATTAGGTTAATATAATGTGAAGTGCTAATAAGAAAACAAAACAAAAAATGACTACGCACAACAACGCCCAGTCGTTAATAAAATAAAATATTAATGTAGGAGTTAGACAGACATATATATTTACACTAACCCATTAATATCAGTGCTAAATATAATTCTCAAAAATGCTTAACTTGGTGGGTAGGGTATGTGTGACTCTATTTGAATAAACTGCCATCGTTACTATGAAAAAAAAGAAATGCGAATACTCGCCACACAAAATTCAAAACTACACAAAACTAATCAAAGAAATTCAATCTTATTTTTATAACAATGAAGGTTGTTAAAGTTGTGGTAAGTTCATATTACTTAGTTTGAATATCATAAAGGACCTCAAGTGTTTCTATATTTACTGTGTCACCAGTATCAGACTCATAACTTTAAATTAAAACTCCTTATCTTGTATACGAATAGGATAGCGTACTTTTTCGGTTTCTAAAACGAACGAATTGTAAAGACCGCAAAGAAGATACCATTTGTCGTATCACCTCATTTTGAGAGCACCTCCCTGACTGCCTCATCCAGCATCGGAATCCTAGGCATCAACATATCGAGCGAAGTCCAGTTTCCGGGTCACTGAGAGGGTAAGGTCAAATTGGCCTCGAAGAAGCTCGGTGTGATGAACAGATCGAGGCAGTATTTCTCTCCGTCCCACCGCCTTCAGCTCAATAAGGCACAAGTCCCGCCGCATATGGAATACTGTTCTCATCTCTATGCAGGGGCACCACAGTACCAACTTCTTCCTCGATAGCCCAAACATCTCCGATCAGCTCGATCCCTTGGCGTTACGTAGAGATGTGGTTTTACTCTGCATCCTCTATCGCATATATCATGGAGAGTGCTCCGAGGAATTGTTCGGACTAATTCCAAACGCAACTTTCCGCCATCGTTACATAGGGTAAAATTTTCATTCAGATCATCTAGATAGTTGGCGCTCCACTACTGTGCGCTTTTCGAGACACTTTTTGCCCCACACAACCAATCTGTGGAACGGGTTATCGTCTGCGGTATTTCCGGACCGATAAGACCTTCAAACCTTCAATAAAAGAGCGTACTCCTTCCTAAGAGGCCGGCAATGCGTTTGTGACTCCTGAGTTGCATGGGCGACGATGATCGCTTTCCATCAGGTGACCCGTCTGCTCGTTTGCCTCCTCTGACATAAAAAAAAAACGAGAATTTATTTATTAGAATTTATTACCTATTGGTGATACCTATCATCATCTGGCAACCCTTATCTCAATTTTATTTGGAGTCGGCGCAGTAAGTATGATTCTTTCATTCTAATCTATAATGCGTCATCTCACTGTTTACTCGCTTCCTAGCTATATCCAAACTTTCTAAAATTTAAAAAACTAAAAAAGTTTGTCTTTGTATAAGCGCTCCATATCTCTGGTTTTAATTCTTTTTTTTAAACGTTAAAAAAAGTTGGGTACCAGGGATTGCCTTTCTAGGTCACACCTGGTTCCCCGGCTACTGGTACCCGAGACGGCTTGCTTGCGGTTTTAGTCTGTTTGAGTCCGACTACCCCACCAAGAACCCCATCAAAAAAAGAAATGATGTATTGCCCACCTATTAAGGAATGACCCAAAGAAAAGATTTTTAACAACATTAAACTACAATTCAACGCAAAAGAAGATACGGTTTAAATCGCATCGCAGTGAAAGTGACCAAACCAATATCAATGCACTTCTGATGTTTCCATAAACTAACCTTATAAAGCCAAGCTTTTTTTGTTTCACCACCGGGTTTCAGCGGCGGGAAAAAGAAACCAAAATATGAGTAAGAAACGGAAAACCTCTACATCGGTCACTTTCGTTGAAAATATCCACTGTACATCTATTGAAAGGTGCTTCATGTTCTTTTTCGTCGATATACGAAAGAAACTGTCACTGCCGCAAAGTCATTTTGTGGTGTTGTGTCACCACATATAACTCATACTTTCGTAAAAAACAACCGTCAATATAATCAGAATATTAAAATAGTTACCATAAATTTAGAATCGATACGTATGTTTATTATTTTAAGACCATAAAATACAACATTTAACCAATAAAGTAACGGCCATGCGTTCGCAATCAAAAGGCCAGAGATCAAATTTTAAAACGTTCCTTTACTGATACTTTAAAAACAGATTCTGTTATGCAAATATTATTATAATATGTTGTAACTGTAAGTAAAAGGCACACACACAGTTTCCGTTTTCAGAAACACATTTACACTAAATATGCGCCAGTATTAAAAATTCAAAGAATAGCTTATGTTTCTTAAACTTCTTATAAGATTTTACAGAATACAACAATTGTTGTGCCTTGGTAATTTATTTCAATCTGCTTTTTTAATGAATCATTGTTGCTTATGATTCATATTTTTAAATAGGTACATAATAATATAATGAATTAAAATTCATTGTGTTTAAAAACGTTAGGTATATTTTTGTTGGATAGATGTTTTCCTCTAGACATAATGGTTAAATTTTAAAATAGTTTATTAATAGTGCGCTACTAAAATAACCTTTCTTTTTATAAAGGTCGGTCAAATTATTCCATATTTATGTAATAAAATGTAAACAATGCAATAAAAATGTAAAGTTTTACTACTCTAGACAACAGAGCCCAAGGGATTTCCACTTTAAGTGGGGCTCCCATATAACAGACATGATTTTTTTGCCGAACCCTTTGTGCGCGAGTCCGACTCGCACTTGGCCGGTTTTTTATCGTTCTAAGTTTTGATTTCATAGAGTCTATGCTAAGATTATCTTTCTTTAATAGGTCCAATTTTTTTTTAGACGTAACATATGTAATGTGTATCATCGGCCAAGGCTGTAAAGAAGTTACGTAAAACAATCTGCCATCATTATTCTTTGTATAATAAAATTGTAAAATACTATTAAAATATGTTTGTAATCGTTTTTCGGATTTAAGATGTTTTTTTATATCCTTCGCAACCTCTAAATGAAAAGTCTGATTCGAAAAATGTCACTATTGACATCCTACCTTCATCAATAGTTAAGCTCTAAAAAGCTCTACATTATTCTTTAATAAATACTATACCTAACACAAAAACATATTACAAATCCGGCTGATGTCTTTCAGAGATTATCGCGTTTAAACAAACAAAACTTCTTCAGTTGTACTATATTAATAGACTAAACTATTTTTTTCTCTATTTAGAACTCTCTTGGGCTCCAAGATCCTGGGATTTCCTGTCCGGATAGACAACAAAAAATATGCCCGCAACGCGTACTACTTTAACCTGTGCTTTGTCTGCGACGCCTGGGCTAGGACTGTGCATCTCGAGCCATTGGTCAAGAAGCTCACGGAATACCTGGTGAGTACCTGATGTCCACTTCTGGAATGTGGCAGTAGAGCAACGTGTGTAGTCGCGTGTTCGAGTTCCAATGAGAGAAGTGAAATAAACTCGCACTATGCTCCAAATGTAAGTTTCTTTCAGTTCTAGTCGACCGTCACGGTGATCGCTTTCGACGTTGCTATTGGCCCGCACTGAAATCTTCACCAATCGCAACGCTGAACGCGTGACCGTGACGATCCAGTTGATGTGTAAAACCAACACTAGGCCCTCAGTTCAGTCAGTGGCAGATCCCGAACGTAGAAGACGTCGGTGACGATACCAGCCGTCGACGGAAACGCGGGCCACCAGAGAGTGGGAAATATTTTCCCCTGGTATAGGGCCTGATTAGGCATGGTGTCAATTCGGGGAGAACCTGAAATAACATGGTCCGGGTCCTCCCAGAGTACCTGTGGCCGGCCGTCGGGATGGTATTTAGCGGAATCACCACATACTGGTTCCTGAGTCCCCGACGAGCAGGAGATCCGAAGGGATTTTCACCCCGTCAACAAAACAAATACTTTTGGTCAGAATACGATATAATCATAAAACAAACAACGTCGGATGTTTAATACTTTACTACGAGAATACTTTTAAGCCGTTTTGGCTAGTAGATCTTAACTGAATTTGAACGAATGTTTATTATAAGAATCGACCTTCTGGTCGAAACCTCAGGCAATTCAAAGGATGTAAAATTTATTGCGTTAATTCCTGTATGAGTAATTATAAGATCAATGTTGTAATTTTTATTTTAACACAAGTAATAAAAAAGTGACGTAATTACGGTCACCAATAGTCGTTTTCAAGTGGCTCCACATCCAACTGACCTCTCTCACCAATTGACGCAGACTGCCATAAATTATATCATAAAATCTCACTAAAATTAACTTTTTAAAGTTGCTTCCGTATATTTAGACATTAGACCGTTCGTAAACAGTCCAGCGCCTCATGTACATCAGTTTCTATGAAGAAAATAGCGTCGTGAGTATTTTATAGCGTTCCAAATCATTGTTGTTCAAGATTTTCGGGAATAACTGACTACTTCGAACCTTTTTTCGAGGAGTGAAGTGTCAAGCGCCATACACGTCAGTAAAATCATCATCATCATCATCATCATCAACAGCCTTTAATAGTCCACTGCTGGACACAAGCCTCTCCCGAGAAAGGAGGTTTTGGCCTACTATACCACGCTGGCCAGACGGGTTGGTAAAGGGTTTGTGTCAAGTTTTCCTTCTCTCTGCAGTGCTGTTGTCCTGCTTAGTTTATTCCCTTAGTCGGCTCTTACGACACCCACGGGATGAATAGGGGTGGTGACACTCTGTATTCTTAATCCGTCACCACACGGACCGTCACGTCAGTAAAATATATCTTTATATATCGTATCTGTATAATATTGTGCAAATATAGGTACCAATTTCAAAAGCTTTTATTCTTATGGCAACTTTTACATAGAACGAACAATACACATCAATACCATCTGAAATATATACTAATCCTGTATAGCGCAATGAAATTCTCGCTCCGATTAACATACAGAGGGCCTAGTGTGAGTTTATTTCAGATCAATACGCTCTTGACGGCGACCGCAATCGGCAATCTCTACCGGTCGCCGTCGATAGCGAATGCTGTTGGGCCGCTGTCCGGCAGACGTGATCACCTCGTCATGCCAAAAGATCGTTCCTTTGTGTTGGAAGGACATAACACATTCTATTCAACCTAATCTAGGATCTATCTAGGATAATCTAAATAATAAAGGTATATGTTATCATTAAGATAATGAAAAATAAAATCTAATAAATATGGTATCTCTAGTATCACAGCTATCACAGAGAGATGAGATATAATTGATGTTTTGTTTTTATATTTGTTAGATGATAATAAGTTTGCAAATATAATCTTTAACATTATTTTAAACTTATAACTTACGTTATTTTTAACAATTAAAAAAAAATAAGTTTACTGTTCGACCATAGGTAATAAACATGCAACTGTTTATTCTTACAAATAAATAAATAAATCTACGTTAAATTCTGCTTACTTATCTGTTTTTAGATCGTTTGTGGTTTAAGTAAGTATAAGAGTGTAGATAAAAAGTTGACTTTACAAGTGAGCAAAATAGCTGTTTCACAGGATGTGGAGCCAAATTTGGTAACTTTCTAACAGAATATGGAGTTATTAGAAGCGTCAACGATACTCCACGGATCATTTCACAAGTTTCAAAGCTAAAAGCAATTGAGTGACTAACGCTGTGTTTATAAAGGATTAACGATTTTACTAACGTGTGCGTAGTTCGGGTCTGTCGGTTCTGACTAGACCCAGAACAGTCAGTGAACCTCTTTCAAGATGTGTAGCGACTTCCCGCATCGGTTTCAGGCCATTAAAATTGTTTGCTCTTAATAAAACCATATGATACGATATACCTTTCATTATAAACCCTTTTAAAAAAAAAGTTGAACCGACTTCAAACAACACCGACAAAGAGCACTAAAAATTAAAAAATAATTACAAATCTAAGTAAAAAACTATAATAAGTACCCTCAATGTAACAGGTAACATTATAATACCAATAGTCCCTTCTAGTCTGTTTGAAGTCGGTGCCAAGCCAGATAGGTGCTTGATAGGCATGGTAGAATGTAGCGCGGCAGCTGCAACAGTCTTCATGCTGCGCAAAACATGTTGAACGAGCTAAAGTGGACGCACATCTCCAATTATATTATTATTTTGAATGCTTTAATAAGTAGTTGATAAGTTTGCGCACGTAATTTATCTGGTTGGTCTTTATTATTAACAAAATCTTCGATGTTTCATTACAATTATTTTGAATTCTTAATTTTTCATTGTGCTAATATACAGCTGCCATAGACCAGTATTACTTATTGTGCATCGAGCTTGGCACCGACTTCAAACAGACTAGAAGGGACTATTGGTATTATAATGTTACCTGTTACATTGAGGGTACTTATTATAGTTTTTTACTTAGATTTGTAATTATTTTTTAATTTTTAGTGCTCTTTGTCGGTGTTGTTTGAAGTCGGTTCAACTTTTTTTTTAAAAGGGTTTATTTTACAATTTTTAGTGTAGGATATGTTTGTAATGAGTAGATAAGTACGATATTTAAAACACTACGTACCGTAATGTATAGTAACAAACTGTAGTTTGTTAGATTATATTAAATATTATATTAAATTACTGCTGGACATAGGCCTCTCCTTAGAAAGTTGACCCACACAAAATTTAAGAGTGTTTTCCAGAACTATTTTAATAAATTAAGTATAAAATTACTTACAAACGAAATGCGATGCCATCCATAGCAACAAAACGTCTATCCGAATTATTTTAACAAGATAGAATACAAAATTTCAACCTTTTCTTCTTAATACAACGAAAATTACTGTAGGGACATAAATACTGCAAGTTCTCTGCGCATCACATCGCGCAGTCTCTGACGGTTGCCATGGTTTGTTTGGCAAAAGAAATGCTCGTAGCTAAAACACGTTGTCGGGGCTGTCAAATTCCCAATAATTGTGAGGGTTTCCCTCGATTTCTCTAGGATTCCATCATCAGATCCTGAATTGGTGATAATGGGACCAATTCGGGAGCATACCCTTTCGATAACAAACAGAATTTTGAAAATCGGTCCACAATTGACGGAGAAATCACGGAACAAACATACATAAAAAAAAAAATACAGATGAATTGAGAACCTCCTCTTTTGTGTTTTGGAAGTCGGTTAAAAATTGCTTTTTAGTTGTTTGAAGTTTTCAATTTTTTTTTTAAATAATTTAATTTTTTAATTTTTCGTGGGAAGTAAGTGTGATTTTTAAGGTCATAAATAAACGCTCACACTCACAGCCCAACTCTAAAAATGTTTATCGTATCCGTGTATCCTAGGTGCCGTGGACAAACAAAATGTACGATTGTCAAAATTGGCGGAATGATCGCGTATCAAACATACAAAAAGAAAACATACTGTCGAATCAAAAACCCTCCTTTTTTGATGTTGGTTAAAAATCGACTAGCATGAAGCTCCTAGTCGAGACGAATCAAATGAGCACAAACACGGCGGAATTGCTTTATTTTATTACAGAGTTCCAATGGCTATTTACCGTCTCCATCATCAGACCCTGAATATCACATAGGATCGGAGTCCTTATTAATTAGACTCAAACACATTCAAATTCGATGGTATTACATAATTTTGTTACAGAGATCCCATACTCCTAAACCATTCATCATCAGCTTCATCATCAGCTCAGCAACATCAGATGGTGACCATTAGATGCAAAAATCTACATAGATTAAGATAATTTCTGATAAACAGTGTATATGCCTACAAAATTTGAGGGTTTCCCTCGATTTCCCCAGGATCCCATCATCAGATCCTGACCTGGTGACAATGGGACCACCTCTGACGTATGACCTACCAAATAAAAAAAGAATTATTCAAATCGGTTTATAATTGCCGGAGTAATCGCGTAACAAATATACAAAAAAAAAAAAAAAAAAAATACAGTCGAATTGAGAACCTCCTCCTTTTTTTGAAGTCGGTTAAAAATACAACTTTATAAGCCGAATAGCATGAAAAGTTATTAAAAAGTAATAAAGCTTCGCAAACTAATAAAAGAGGCGTAAAATATCTAAAATAAACCTCGGTCATAGTAAAACTCATTATACAAAAGTTAAAATAATTTTGTGTTTAATTTGTATGTTCAGAGATGTTTTCATAAGAAGTTCTCTAACATTTATGTTAATTTATGCCTTCGTTAATAAATGTAATTTATTTATTTATTTGTCACCTATAGAAATAAGAAAACCTCAAACATTGAAAGCAAAAGTGAAAAACTATAGTTATAACTCCATCGACTGTTATATTGTAACTATATGTTATTGTTATAATGTTTAGGCACGCGCATGGAATCATATTCTAGATTCTATTTACTGTATATTGACATGTAGTCTAGCCGAATATAATAACTAATTACTTTGATATGAAACCTTTAAGATCTCTTGTAGTAGTATCAGTCCGAATTATACTTTACATTAATTTTATTAGTAAAATAATAATCTTATTAGATTAGACTAATAAATAGTATAAATACTATATATCGAATTAATCAGGGTTTAGTTAACCGCATGCACAAGCATGCAAGCACGCACGCAAGCCGCAAGCATGTAGAGTAATATTAGTACAAATAGAAATATCATTTAAAGACACAAAGATAAGAATAACAAACAATGTAATCTTAGAAGCTAATAAATATTGTAAAAGCTATCTCTGTTTTGCCACCAGTTATCGATGGAGCTTGAAACGGAATGGCTGTCTAAGCAATCAATGTCTGGTGACGCGAAGGCGCTTGGAGGGCTGATGCGGCAAGTGATGCAAGATATCAACAGCCGCAGGATGTGCACACTGACAGGTGAAGAAATATTTAATTATATTTAACATATTTTAACATATTTTTTCGCTCCATGGTCGAAATTCTACCAATAATCACATCTTCGTTTCGCCAACAACAGGTAAATTCCCTCAATTTTTTTTTTATCGTAAACACTGAGAATGATAGTTTTAAATACGAGTATATAACAAAGTTAAGTTGGTTTAAAAAAACTCAAAAAGTTTTGCTCAAATTTTCACATGATATACAACCCACTTTAAAAATCGTTTTTATCGCAGAACAGTGAACAATAGTTATTCACTCTTCTGTGGTTTTTTATCAATTTTTCGCGTCAGTTTCGGGTGCTACAAGTCGAGTTTATCTACAGTTAATCTCGGGATCTAGGGATAGCCCCGGGATTGTATTGGTAATGGAAAGTGGTAACAAAAAGACAGTATAACACGTCCATATCAGTTTTTTAGCTTTTGGCAATATATTTAAGTTTTAAATCTTCAAAAATCCGGTTAAACATAATTATACTTCTAATTAAATTAACAAACTAGGCAATTCTATAAATCATTACATATTACAGAATGGAGTCCCCGGCTGCGTCTGTCTGTCTGTCTGTATGAACGCGATAAACTCAAAAACTACTAAATAGATTTTTGTACGGTTTTCACCAATAGATAGCTTGATTCTTGAAGAAGATTTAGGTGTATAACTCATGATAGTTTTATGTTAATTGACTGAAATATAACTTATATAGTTGAAGTCGCTTGAAATCTTATGCTATATAAACCGGGCGAAAAAAGGATCACGGTTACCGAAATCCATGCCGGCGAAGCTGCGGCTTTAAAAAATGAACTTCGTTTGACTTATTTAGGTAAATTATAATAAAGACTATAGGTATATCAATGTTTACACTCATATTCTTGAATTAAATTGACCAGAAACTTTATAAATCTATACTAATATTATAAAGCTGAAGAGTTTGTTTGTTTGTTTGTTTGTTTGAACGCGCTAATCTCAGGAACTACTGGCCCGATTTGAAAAATTATTTCAGTGTTAGATAGCCCATTTATCGAGGCAGGCTATAGGCTATATATCATCACGCTAAGAGCAATAGGAGCGGAGCACCAATGAAGAATGTTTCAAAAACTGAGAAAATTTATTACTTGAGAGACGCAGACGAAGTTGCGCGGGTCAGCTAGTTACTTAATAAAATCTAAGAAATAACAATGTATCTAACGTGGCTGACAAAATGTCAAATCAAGGTAAGTGCGTTTCGTTTCACCCAAATTTTATCGACTAACTTATAAATGAGTCAATAACGAAAATTCCGGGATTCATTAAATTTGATCCCTGAAACTTCGGAACTAAAATATGACCGTAATGGAAAGTCGAATCCTCTAGCTACAAGTCACCACTAAGCGTGGCAGGGCACAGGTGAAAATAGTTAGGTAATAATTATTTAAGAGAATAATTTGAGATTAAACTATTATTTTCTCTTATCTTTAATGTAACCTACGGTTAAGTTTAAGTAACTTAGTTGCTGGTGGCAACAACTTCGAAAGTATATTGTCATTGTCTTCTAGACATAAAAATCTTAATGTTTATTAACAAAATGTTAGTTTAAATCGAATAACTGTTGTTATTAATTTCACGTTTATTTCTGTAAACAAGCAAAACTCGTGGATGACTTTTATCGATCTAGAGAAAGCTTTTGACCGGGTGCCAAAAACCATATGGCAAACCCTAAGATCGCAAAATGTCCCTGAACTGTTCATAAGACTTATAATGGACATGTACAACAGTGCACAAACATGTGTGAGAAGTCCAGCCGGGTTGTCAGCGAGCTTTGATGTTGAGGTCGGTGTTCATCAAGGAAGCGCTCTAAGACCCTTGCTTTTCAACATCACCATGGACTACCTGACGAAAGAAATCCAGAAACCTGTACCGTGGAATCTATTGAATGCGTATGACGTGGCTCTGATATCGGGCAATGCTAGTGAAATGCAAGAACATCTAGAACGATGGAGAGGAGCTCTAGAGTCAAATGGACTGCGCATTAGCAGAACTAAGACCGAGTACATGGTGTGTAGTTTTGACCAGAACGGACCTCACACTTGACGGCACGAACCTTCCAAAAGTAAACAAATTTAAATACTGGGTTCTGTCATCTCAAATAATGGTCAATAGATGGGGATATAACAAACAGGACGACGTCTGGATGGAATAAATGGCGTGAACTTACAGGGGTCCTGTGTGACCCAAAAATGCCTATAAGAACCAAAGGCAAAGTTTACAAAACTGTCGTGAGACCAGTTCTACTCTACGGAAGTGAAACGTGGGCCACAAAAAGAATGCAGGAACAGAGACTGCATACCACAGAAATGCGTATGCTGCGCTGGGCGGGTGGAGTAACTCTCAAGGATAAAGTTCGTAACGAGCACATAAGAGGCCGTTTCAAGGTTGCGTCTATCACTGAAAAACTTGTGGAGGCCAGACTGAGGTGGACATGTAGAGGACCTACACAGTGGAGAGGGAGAGGCAGACCGCAAACTACTTGGATGACAAATTTACAAAGAGACATGAGGGAGTTAGGCCTGTCCACTGACGATGCTCACCAGCGAAATGTATGGCGCCGCATTATAGGGAAAGCCGACCCCGCGTAACGGGAATGGGCGAGGGCAAAGATGTTTATTTCTGTCGTCCGTTCAATGTGATCATTAAAATACTTAATACCGTCACGTTATCGACCTATTATAAATGAGCAATAATAATAATATTTTCGCACATCTGACACACAACGCCATGTACTTCGTTTCAAACTAAGCAGTACTTGTACTATGAAAGCTAGATGAACTGATAGATTATTTATATATTTTTTTGTAAATACATACATATTATACATAGAAGACACCCAAACTCCGAAGCAAATATTTGCAGATCGTACTAACATTTGGTCCGACCCAGGATTCGAACCGTAGACCTCAGCACATCAGTCGCATACGCTACCGAGGCAGCAATAACATCTGTTGCTTTTGTTTTACACGGGTTTGCTACTATAGGTGTGTGTAGAGAATTGTTGTTTGTAGTTCTTGAGCAGTACAGGTTTAATACTAGAATCTTACGATTTAACAGTATTATAATTCCACTATGTTTTTAATCGACTGCAAGAAGTGAAGGAAGTTGGGTTTTTTGAATATGTTTACTAGCATTTGCCTGCGGCTCCGCCCGCGTGTATTTCCGCCGCTGGTTAAAAGTAGTCTATGTTACTTGCTGATGGTGTAGCTTTCCATTGGTGATATAATAAAATCGGTTCAGTGCTTTAGGCGTGAAATTCAAGCGTAACAAACAAACAAACTCACTTTCATATTTTTAATATAATGATGGATTAGTAATCAATCATTTCACAAACCGATATGGAAAATTGATAAATTCCCGTTTGATCCCAGTTTGAAAAAATGATACCACACCCTAAGAGTGGAAAATCAAGGTTTATATTAATTTATTACAATTCAGCATGGTCTACGCGAATGGAAGTTGGTAATATTTTATTAAAAGATTTTTTTTATTACATATATAATAAGACACAAGGCACAAGTTTCGACGGTCTTGTAAAACTAAAAAAAGACGACAAAATCTCTATCTAACTCTACTTCTTAACAAGTCACGTAGTCAAGGTCTTCTCTAGTCACAGTCACATGGTGTTTTTTTTTTAAAGACAACTCCCGCACTAGGAATATATCCTGTTTCGCGGAGGACTTTACAAACATACATGAAAAGGACACAGTCTTGACAGTAGAAAGCGGCGAGGTGCCCGCTTAAACCACTACGCCATCCGTGGAGTCAATGTTATTGTTATCCTTAACTAAACTCTCTGAAACTAACCTTTCTTACGTTAAATAATATTAAACTCGTATTTAATTAATGAACAACTCTTATCGCCTTTTGATAACATTTTGTACATAAGCTCTAATCTTTCGTGCGCACTGTTGTGTGTCAGAATTACACTACATAAGTTTAAATAACAAGAAGGAAATATAAATGCCTTCCTCATGTATGTATTTTTGAATAAAAAACAATAGCCAACATTAAATAGACAATAACAACGGGAAGTATTTATTTAAATAAGCTGGCGAATGCAAAATTAAATGTAAATTTGGGAAATGCGAACTATGTAAAAAAATACAGTTGTATCTATCAAAGTTTAGTTTTCGTAACTATGAAATATTAAATTTCTGCTTTATAATTAGAATATTTAACTGTTTCTTGTATAAAATATTATATTTTAAAGAGACTATCCGTTAAACGCATTTCATGGTCGCTGAACTGTTCCTAAGCCTCTTAAAGTGATGTTAACTAATGTAACATTGTCTTATAATACTCCTCAATAAATAACCTATCCGAAATCAAGTAGTAGTTTCGGAGGTAATCGCATTTAAACAAACAATGAAACAAAAAAATCTTCTCGGTTAATTCGAGATATTGTAGTCGAAAATAGTCGACAAGTTTCCACACACCTGATCATAATACAAGGTCGCTCCTAGAAGCCGGCGTAGCCCTAGGAAGCTTTTGTACTTCTGGAAGGAGTTGGTTCACTTAGCTAATATTACCGACACGCATAAATCACCAGTTTTAACCGACTTCAAAAAAAGGAGGAGGTTCTCAATTAGACTGTATTTTTTTTTATGTTTGTTAATTCAGAACTTTTGACTAGGTGAACCGATTTTGATGATTCTTTTTTTATTCAGTCTAAGTTAGCGGCAACTTAAGCCCCGTACCAATAATACAGCCTATTACATTACTTTCTTAAAATGAGTTTGATTTTCCTTAACTACTCCTAAATATTCCTAATTGAATGTAGTAACAGGAATAGAAAAGTACTTGTGGTACCTTTTATGCCAAAAAAGATGTTCCCGAGGGATTGTAACTTGATTCATCATCACCATCAACAGCCTTTAGTAGTCCACTGCTGGACATAGGCCTCTCTTTAGAAAGGAGGTTTGATTAACCTAAATTAAAATCTATATGCATTT